TTAGCTCACTTCAACTTGTCNTTGATATATTTTAGAAAAAAAAAATAACATTTTCATATATACATGGGCTAAAACATGGCAAAATCGATCTATAACCTATGTAGCGGTAAAATGCTTTTTTCGTTCACAAACCTCAATCCAATCGAAATATAAATATGATATTCGTAATCAGCGTGCAAAATTGCATTGAAATGATATGCTTTTAAGGATATTTCAGAAAACAAAATTTTTTCGGATCCTGGGGATACCCAAGGGGTAAAAATCGCACTTTGACATGGCGCAAAACTAAGTCGTAGGAAACATTTCTAGTAACACCCTGACACATTTCAGGTAGATAAAAGTAAAAAAAATCGTGGGCGAAAAAATGCCCTTACTGCAACATGTCCTTTGTTGAGATTACGTAAAATAATGGAGTAAACCATTTTCTACGAAATGAGACATTGTTGAGTTCTCTGTGACATTCTTCTAGCCGAGAAACATGTAAAAAAACATGATTTCAAAAGTTTCTGTAAGATTGATGTATCTCAGCTAAATACTGCTGTAGAGAACTCGACAGTCTCTCATTTTGTAGAGAATTGTTTGTTCTATTGTTCTTTATAGTCTAAACAAAATAATATTTACCCTTTATAGGTGCTGAAAACCTATGGTTATGACTCTCTGAAGTTCTTGTCTTCGGAAATCTTATAACAATTTTTATTTCTTTATATTTCTTCTTGGAAACAATTTTCTACATTCAAATCGCTATTTAGATTCTTTACAGAGCTTACAGCAATAGAAAAATAAACTTTGTTGAATAACTTTGATATTCATTGTATGTCTTCAATCATGCTCACTTTTATATCATTACTAAATTCATATTTTAAATTTCGCACTTTCTTTATTCTAATATTCTATTATGATTAATTATTTCATTAAACATATTTACAAAAAAAGAATTGTTAAGATAAAAGTCAAGTCAAAGCATTAAATGAATGAGAAAATTGTGATGGCATTCGAACATGAAGTGTATTACGTGTAAGTTGATCAGAATCGACAGTAGCATTTGGATATCTATCACAAACATATGGAATATAATTTAGAAGATTTTCATGTGCATATTTAGTAATTGAAGCTGGTTCGATACGAATTGGTGTTGATGAATTTGTATGATTATTTTCTAATGTATCCAAAAATAAATGACGAATATTCATTGAAATTGGTTGACCAACAAGAGCATGTTCATTTGAAATATCAATTAAAAACATATCGATTGGTGCAGATACGGTACGTTTTACTAGATGAGATTCATCATCGATATTTTCTTTCAAAGATTGTTCATTTTTATCTGTTGTCATTGATGATTCAATATGTCTTAATGTTCGATAAGATTCTGTTCGGTGTTCATCGCCAGTAGTTTGAATGATATCTGATGTTGATGGTACGTGAGAAGAATCAGTAGTACTTGTTGTAAGTATTGATCGCGAACGATCCATATTATAAATTGATGATGATGCTGGTGCATCTATATGACTGTAAGCTTGAGCTACATATGGATTAGAACGATGATAAGAACGATTGCTTTGACCATTAAAAGGAAAATAGAAAGGTGTTGAAAAGAGTGGAAAATCTGAATGTCCTCGAATTTGTTTTGCTGATGTTGAATATATTTGTTCGTTAGATGGTACATAATAATGATAACGAAATGATGAACTATTTGTAGGTTCACGACTCATAGCAGAACATTGTGCTTTATTATTTGATATACTTGGTAATTCATTTACTGTTTGAGTATAATTATTATGAATGATGGCATCATGATTGTCACGTTTTTTTTTACATTTACACATTGATGATACGACACCCATACGAGATCTAGACTTGATTGTTAATGCTTCTGTTATGAACAATGTTCTTATCTACCTATCGTCCCTTATTTCTTTTCATTCGATTGAAAAAAAATCGATGTATTATTTATTTTTTTTGTACCACTGTCATCATCTATGCGTATGTGTATATATGGAGCAGAGTAGCACAAAAATTGGATGTACATTTAGCAAAAAAGGACAGAGAGACAGAGAGAGAGAAGAAGAAGAAAGGGAATACGAGTCTTTACCATGTCTCTCTATATATATTTATAGATCTAACAATCAATATACGCCAATGCATTCATATAATGACAACGACATTCCACACCAAACTACTTCAATTTCAGTCATATAGGACATGTAAATGATTGTTTTAATGCATACATACGTGCATATATTGATTGAATTTGAACAAGTCTCCTACTCTCTCCCTTCATCATTCGTTGTCAGATTATAATTGTCAAGTATATGGCTAAAATACAGTCTTTATTTATATATCATAAAAAAGAACTGAAATAAATTAGACAACTTTGATTATTTTGAATTAATTAATTGATGATATTAAGAACAAAATAGATACTTATAATTAATTTGCTTTTGTTTGTAACTAATCAGAGAGATCTCTAGAATCCTATACTCTAATTTAAATAGCATATAGTCATATAGATGAGACAGCTGTCACTGTACATTTTATTTCAGGATGTTGTCCATTTTTTGCTGGAAACCTTGGTTTTTCATTTTGGAATAAAATGTGGATAAAGACAGCAGACTGAAACTAAAAACACAAATAAGATTATAGCAAAAACACCTAGCTCGAGATGAAGAATGCCTTCTTTAGACTGTAGTTTTCTTGTAATTCAGTCCAATTTATGTCATATACTGCAAAAGATTGTTTGTATTCGTACAAAGAATCTTCTTTTTTTGTTTCGTAACAGAAATGCTTCTTTTTTTTCCAGTGTATTGCTTTATCTACTACTGTTCTTATAATTTTTGTCTCATACGTTCTTCTTTGAGATTAATTTCACCGGTAAAATAGATATCAAATTGATGCATAGATAATATTGAAACATGATATTGAAAAACTCAATTAGCTGAATTTGTTGTCTAACTTTGGTAGACATTTAACTTATTCTTATGTACAATGATTTTCTTATAAATATTGAAATTAAAGTATTGTTTAAATCAGAACATCGTATTCTAGAGATCTCTCTCGTTTAATTACAAGCCTTAGTGTCATCAGCCTTGATAAAGCATTAACAAAAAGTAATGTTTGATTTTTCTCAATTATTTCTTCTATGTTTGCTCATAAACAAATGATATATAAACACGGATGCCCCACAATAACTAATGATAAATTGTTAATGATATTTTTCATATTTTTTCTTCACGTAGAGAGGTAACATTTTTATCATATATATATATCTAATCAAGATATTTTATTTCTGATAGTTTCAGATCTCTACCTATAATTGCAGGTAAAATGCATGAACAAGATTGAAATACATAAATTTTCGTACTCGTTTTTTGTATTATTTTCACGGTCAAAAAATAAAATGCAAAAAAATGAATACGAAAATTTATATATTTCAATCTTATCGATTTATTTCATAAGTAGTTATAGCTAGAGAGCCGAGAATTTCAAAAATAAAATATCTTGATTAGATATATTTATTTGATAAAATATCAGCTCTCTACGTCAAGAAAACGTATGAAAAATATCATTAACAATTTATCATTAGTTACTATGGGACACCGTTAATGTTTTCACAATAAAAAATAACCTATGGATACATATTTTGTTGTGAATATCATCAATTAATTGATATTTAGTTGAAAACAAGTAACTTCGATACGACATATAAATGAGTGAATTGCATTTTTTCAGTACGATTTTTGTGACAAACTGAGAATAGGTCTAAACAATTTCTGCGTAGTATATTTTGTTATACTCTACGCCTGTTATAAGGGGCACAAGTTTCCCAACACTTCACTGAGTATAAATAGGAATGCATGCTATACAGCTTAATTCAAGAATAAAATTGGCTTCACTCATTGAAAAAGTTTGAGCCATTTTTCAGCTCTGTATGAAGAATCGAAAGTTAGGAAAAGATCACAATATACTCGAGTTTGCTTGTCATACCCTCTACACTTTGTGGTATAATTTAAATTTCGTCTGAACAGTAATGACTCATTTAACAATTATAGAGTAAATAATTTTCAAAATATTACTCTGCTAAAGTGAGTATAATTATCTTTTTGTTTTTAGAGAGTTTATTAGTTTTTCTCTGAAACACAACTGATAAGAGAGAACTTTTCTTGCTATTTTGTTACTACAAGAATTCTGTCTCTTCTCACATGGCTTGCGCATCGTCAGTTCTATCACAGAGAGAAAGAGAGAGAACTAAAATTGAATTTGTATCACTCTACACAAAAGCATACAAATGTCTGTCAAACAATATACACTTTACATGAGTGAATAAGAAACGAGTAAAATTTAAATCAATTACATTTTTGATTGAGGGTTGAATGTTGTACAAGCGGAACTTTTACCATTCTTTTTCTCTTGTTTTATTATAGTCAAAATGTTTCTTTTTATTTGCACATGTTACCAAAAATTGACGTTCTTTTTTTCTAATGTGTCTCTAATAAGGAATAGAATATCATAGAAAAACAAAATCGTCCAAATCAATCAACGAAAACAAGAATTATAAGTCAAGCACAGCTAAAATATCAATAGTACCCGAAAGTTATAATTTACTCGCATACATCTATTTATTAATATTGATTAACAAAATATACCTTTCTCTTATTCGGTGAAAACTATAATTTTGAACATAATCTTCTTGTTTTTTGTTAAATATCAATACTTTCAACTAGCGTCCTCTGTGGAAACATTTATGGAATATTTTTCTTTAGAGGTTAGCAAACACTGACTCAAGATGACGAGTGAATTTTTATTATTGACTAACTGACTGTACTTATACTGCATCTTTTTCCTTTCTATTGAACAAATATATTAGAAGTGAATAGATTTGTGTTTATTTACAATTCAGATGGCAGAAGAAGAGTGAGCGTATTGTGCTGTTTGGATTATTATTGCTATTTGATTTTTGATTATTTCTCTTTCTTTGTGCTATCTATTTATTTGCTCTAATCATGAAGCATCAGGCACCAACACCGATCAATGCAAAAAAGTAAACGTCATTTACATCGTTTCCTTTTGTTTATGAGGTTTTGTTTTGGCTTTTGGATCGTTTGTGTTTTTCTTTATTTTTTTGCTTTTTGTCTAATAATCATTTAATATTGTTTTCAGAACTATGGCTCCACCACATGGTGATCAAAATGAACGTGTTAATATTCGCATTAATGATTCCACAGCACATAATATTCATAAAGCTGCTGTAACACGTGATTATATAAAACAACCACGACTAAGTAAAATAAAAAAAAGAAATAGAAAATAGGAATTTTTATCTTATTTCATTTATGTATCATTTTCTAGCCTATAAAACTGTTGTTGGTGTCAATGGTCCATTAGTTATTTTAGATAATGTTAAATTTCCAAAATTTGCTGAAATTGTTAATTTAACATTACCTGATGGTAGTATACGTAGTGGACAAATTCTTGAAGTATCAGGATCAAAAGCTGTCGTGCAAGTATTTGAAGGAACAGCCGGCATTGATGCAAAATATACAACTGTTGAATTTACTGGTGATATTNTGCTATGAAACAAGGACTAACTAAAGAAGAATTCCGCGTTATTTTAATAGGAAAAACAGGAAATGGTATATTTTTCGATAAAGGCAACTAATTCTTGCAAGATCATATTCTCCATTGTTTTTTTAGGTAAAAGTTCATTTGGCAATATATTGATTGAAAAACTCGTTTTCAAAACTTGAAGTCAAGCATCAACCGTAGCTAAAAAATGCCAGTGTGAGACACGTACATTTGATAATGGTAAGAGAAACTTATTGGTCGTCGATACATCTAGTCTTTTTGATACAACCTTTGGCAATCAATTGAAACAAAATCATTGTGTTATTGCTGGTGCTTTAGGCTTATATAAGAAGGGTACACATGCATTTTTTTAATCATTCTGTAATATAATTCACGTTTTACATCTGAAGAAAAAAAAAGGAATTGAATTTATTGACGAAATATTTCTTCGTTATATCAAATACTCAATAGTTATATTTATTCATATTGATTGATTGACAGAAAACGAAACATTATATGATTATTTAAAACCAAATTCGACAGCTTCAAACGATAAAAATTTAGATTTAGACGAATTGATAACCAGCTGCGGCGATTGTTATTATGGTGTCAACAATAAGAATACCAATAAACGACGGAACTTGAAGATTCTGAACGATTTAATTGAAAAAATTCAAATGGTGTTAAAAAATAATGTTACAGAATATTATCGAAACCGATCTTATACCTACCAGAAAAGTATAGAAACAAAACGGTTTAGAGGATAGTGATGACGATAATTAATCTGCCAAGTGTGGGTTATTAGTATCGATGCACATGCTATTAACTCACATTTTTAATTTTTTTTTTTTTTTTTTGAAATATAGTGAACTTAATCATCTACCACATAATCATTTATGAATATCTACAGTGAAGATGACTTTACTGAAACTTATAATTTTTTTTTAGAAAGAAAGCGTTATATAGAAGTTCAAGATGAGAGTTTTCAAGGCATTCGAGAAATCTATCGAGATATATTTCAGCTATCACAAATTGATTTTTATCATGAATTTCATTCATGTGATGCTTGATATGATATGATGCTAATAAGTTAAATTATCAAGAAAAGACACTAATTTCAAATGCATTATAAGCAGAGTGATTGTATGTACCATTTCTCAAATATCCGATTTCGTTCAATGCAATGTATAAAACTTTAGTCTATGTAATTAGTATAATTATGTACGTGTAAACACAGGCTTTTAAATCATTATAGGTTAATAAATAACGGATGATGCATACGTTTCTGGACAAAATATTTCTTCATTTTTCAATCAATCATGAGAGTCAACAAAAAACTTTAAGCATTAAGCTAGAGTCAGAAGTTTGTGCGCTTTCGAAATATATGCTTTGGATTTTTGTGAAGTTTATAGATTAGGATATGTTAATGAGTACAATGTGTTGAAATGGATCAAGAAAATATAATTGAAGTTCTAGTACTCTTTCAATCAATGATAAAGAATAATTCATATAATCGCTTCTCCATATGTCATACTAAAAACCGTATAAATAGATTCAACTATTATCTATAGTAAAATAGTTTTGATTTTGCATATAATTATAGTTTTTATCATCTAATCTAGTAGGAATGATTTTGTCACTTCTTTATTGATTCGATAAGTAATAAACTTGACTTCACGACATATGAATCAAACTGGAATATTCCTATTGTGCCTTTAAGATTAATTATATATATACAAACTAAGGCGATCTCAATTGATAGTTCTTGAATATCTATAGATTTCAATGCTTTTGTTTTTTTTGTTTGAATCTTAACATACTTCATATTTGCAAGCTCAAAATCTGTATTGTTACAAGTTTTTGAATAAAACTCATTAAAATCATAGTGATAAGACCAATCGCTATTATTTATTTTCATTTCATTTCTGAACTCATCAACTCTTTTATTTTAATTGTTAATAATAATAATAATAAAAAACGCTCAAGTATAAAGCTCCGATTGTAAAAATCAGGTCGATTTGTGAAAAAATTTTAATGGTAAATTAGCATGAAGTGTATTATGCGTAGGTTGATTGGAGTCGACAGTCAAATTTGGATATCTTTCACAAACGTTTGGAATGTAATTAAGAAGATTTTCATGTACATAAGTAGTGTTTGGAGATTTTTTAGCACAAACAGGAGTTAAAGCTTGTGTATAACTATCGTCAGGTGATTTCAAAAGTAAATGACGTATATTCATTGAAACCGGTTGACCCATACGAACTTGTTCATTTGAAATATCGACTAAAAACATATCGATCGGTTTCGATGTCGAACGTTCCACTAGATGTGATTCATCAGCAATATTTTGCTTAAATGATTGATCATTCTTATTTATTGCCCACGATGATTGAACACGTATGAATGTTCGATGTTCATGGTCCGATGTATTATGAATGATATTCGATACTGATGATCTTCGAGGAGGATCAGTCCGAATAGCAATACGATCGAACTTTTTAGCTTCATACGCACAAGGACGATGATAAGTTGTATTACTTTTGCTACGAGAAAATTTATCGAAAGCTACAGAACGAAGTGGAGAAATTGAATGTCTTGGCACATGATGATATGATGATAAAAAATGATCATGACGATATGAAGAACTATTTATCATACTTGGCAATGTATTCGTCGTTTGAGTGTACTTATCATGAATAACAGTTATAATTTTATCTCGTTTTTTATATTTATACGTTGATGATACTAAACCCATAGTATATGAAAGTAGAAATGTACTCTTAACTTTCACTGGTACTTTTATGATCAATTTCTTATCTACTTATTGCCTGCCATTTTTTTTTCTATCATTTTATTAAAAAGAGAAAGGGATCAATAAGAAATTATTTATTTTTTTGTTCACAAAACCACCATCTGTATGTACATAGCATAGCAGATTAAAAGTCAAATTCACCTTTATCACAAGAAAAATCTTTTGCCATTGCTCTTTCATATATTTATAGATCCAAAAACAAATATACAAGTACATATCTACATTTTGATAACGACATTCAAACATTAAAAATATTAGAAAGAACAATCCTCTTTTTTTTTTCTTCAACACACATACTTCTATCTAGTGTCCTCTTTCGAAGTAAATTTTTTTCTTATTTTTCATATAGAGGACAACAAACATTGACTCAAAATGATAATCATATTGTGTGATTACGTATATTTTTCTGCTGTTCTATTCAAGAAATATCAATAAACAAATAAATATCTTTTCCTAATTGAATATTTAACATGTTTGAAGAAGAGTAAGCCATTTGGCTGCTATTATTATTCTTGCTATTTTGATTCTCTCAGCTAATCTATTGTTTTCTTACTTTAATCATGAATAAACCACGAAGTGATCATCGGAAGTTACCAACACCGATCAATTCAAAAAAGTAACCGGCTATATATATCTGTGTATCTGTTGTTTGCTTTTGGTTTATTGGATTTTTGATATTTTACATTATTTTTCTTCTTATCATTTATTAATTTTAGAATAATGCCGTCATCTCATGATGAACATCAAAAAGTCAATATTCGAATTAATGATACAACAGCTGCTAATATTCATAGAGCTGCTGTAACACGTGATTATATTAAACAACCACGATTAAGTAACAAAAAATATCAAACATAGAAAAAAATTTAAAATCTAATAATTTATTTTTCTAGCATATAAAACTGTTGTTGGTGTTAATGGCCCATTAGTAATATTAGATAATGTTAAATTTCCTAAATTTGCTGAAATTGTTAATTTAACATTACCTGATGGTAGTATACGTAGTGGACAAATTCTTGAAGTATCAGGATCAAAAGCTGTCGTGCAAGTATTTGAAGGAACAGCCGGCATTGATGCAAAATATACAACTGTTGAATTTACTGGTGATATTTTACGTACACCAGTTTCAGAAGATATGCTTGGTCGAATTTTTAATGGTTCAGGTAAACCAATTGATCGTGGTCCATCTGTATTAGCTGAAGATTATTTGGATATTAATGGTATTAGTTTTTTCTTTTGTAATATGTGTTCATAAAAGTGGAATGTTTAATATATTAATTAGGTGAACCAATTAATCCATTTTCACGAGAATATCCTGAAGAAATGATTCAAACTGGTATATCAGCTATTGATGTTATGAACAGTATTGCACGTGGTCAAAAAATTCCAATATTTTCTGCTGCTGGTTTACCACATAATGATGTAGAGAATTCTTTTCTTTTATTTATAAAAAACAAAAATATTTCAATTAGGAGAGCACTAAGGAATTATCCCCGTATACGAGGCACTGATCAAATATTTCAGTTTTGATTGTTTATTTCCATTCAAGAGACTATCACCTGAAAGCACTGAAACTAAATTTTTAGTGTATTTCGATGTTCTATAGTAAAGTTAGCTTAGATCGATTTTTTAGAACTGCCTATCTACTATTCAAAAATAGTGATAAATTTCTATGAAGATTATACTTCAACAAGTTAGAGAATTTTTTATCCAATAGATAGAGTATAAAAATCTGAACAAAATGAGCTATTTCAAATAGTGTATATCATCTATTTACTTAATTTATATAGTTCAATATGAGTTGCATAGATCATAGTTTATGAGTTTATAACGATAAATTTTTGACAGTTTATTTATTACCATTTTGTTTTAAATAAAAAATTTCATGCTAAATTTTATATACGTTATGTAACTTGTGATTTTTTACAAAAGGCTAAAATAAGTTCAGCTTCGAGGCGAAACGCGATTCACACTGCAATTTTTCGACTAAAAATAACATTAATAGCAGTTTTCATTGCCATGACACATTTGTAAAGCAAAATAAATATGATATTCGAAATCAGCATCAAAAACTACATTAAGTCAAATGTATTTTAGAGAAACTTTTTTCCTGCGAAAAACTAACCCCTTGGGGGGTCACGGTGCAAAACCTTAATAAAACACAGCAGTAGGGGGCTATAGGTGATTTTTTTCATAGGAAAAAAACAAATTTTTTAATATATTTGATGCAATCTAATGTTTGACGCTGACTCCGAATAACACATTTATCTTACTTTACAATCATGTCACGGCAAAGAAAACTGCTATTAATGGTTTTTTTTTTCTGGTTGAAAAATCACCGTGTGAATTTCGATTTGCCTTGAGGATGAATTTTTTTTATCATTCTGTAGAGAATCAAAAGTTCCATAATACCTATAAATTTCAAGAGGAACTTTGTTCAGTTTTTCATACCATCTCTTGGTATATCATATGAAAACAATTTTCGAACTTGTTGAAGTATAAGTCTAGTAGATATTTATGAGATAATGAATCACTATTTTTTTTCGATAGTATGTAGATAATGCTAGAAACTCGATTTAGGATGGTCTTACTATAGAACATATGAATGCATTAAAAATTTGAGTTGCGTGACATTAAATAACGACCTTTGGAATGCACATAAAGAAAAAAGAAAAATTTTGATCAGTACGTTGGTTTCTTGGTTCTCTCACGAACAGTTTTCTTAATTATTTGGAATTTAGATTGCTGCACAAATATGTCGTCAAGCTGGTCTTGTTAAACATGCTAAAGACGCAGTTGATGGTGATGATAATTTTGCCATTGTATTTGCTGCTATGGGTGTAAGTTATTATTTTGATTAATAGTTTAAAAGAACGAATTTGATTATTTTAAAGGTTAATATGGAAACAGCTCGTTTTTTTAAACAAGATTTTGAAGAGAATGGATCAATGGAAAATGTATGTTTATTTTTAAATTTAGCTAATGATCCAACGTAAGAAGAAAACAATATTGTTTTTTTGTTTTGGTGTATATATATGTTTTGAATATTGTTAATAGAATCGAACGTATTATTACACCACGTATTGCATTGACAACAGCAGAATTTCTTGCTTATCAATGTGATAAACATGTTCTTGTCATATTGACTGATATGAGTTCATATGCTGAAGCTTTACGTGAAGTTTCAGCTGCTCGAGAAGAAGTACCAGGTCGTCGTGGTTTTCCAGGCTATATGTATACTGATTTGGCAACAATTTATGAACGTGCAGGACGTGTAGCTGGTCGACATGGTTCAATTACTCAAATTCCTATCTTATCTATGCCTAACGACGGTAATTAAAACGCTTCAAAAAAACAAAAGATTCGTTTCAAATGTGTTTGTTTTTGTCATTTAGATATTACACATCCTATTCCGGATTTGACAGGTTATATTACTGAAGGACAAATCTATGTTGATCGACAATTACATAATCGACAGGTATGATTCGAAAATGTATGTAAATTGTTAACATAATAAATTTATTAGATCTATCCACCAATTAATGTGCTTCCGTCATTATCACGTCTGATGAAATCGGCTATTGGTGAAGGTATGACACGAAAAGATCATGCTGATGTTTCAAATCAATTAGTATGAAATTTTGGGTTTTTATTTTTTGTTAAGAAGAATGTATTTTTGTTGTTTAGTATGCTAATTATGCTATTGGAAAAGATATAGCTGCAATGAAAGCTGTTGTTGGTGAAGAAGCTTTATCATCGGATGATTTACTTTATTTAGAATTTTTAGGCAAATTTGAAAAGAATTTTCTTACTCAGGGTATTGATTTATCTGCAAAAAAAGAACACGAGCTTTTTTTTTTACTATTGAAAATATTTAATATATTTCAGGTGCCTATGAAAATCGTACAATAGCTGATTCATTAGATGTATGTTGGCAATTACTTCGGACATTTCCACGTGAAATGCTTAAGCGTATTCCACATAGTATTCTTCAAGAATTTTATCCTCGTGATGGCGGAAAAAACTTACAACAACAGATATCAACAACAACAACAACAACGGGATGACGCAATAACCACATATGTAGAGAGAGAATTGTTCTTTTTACGCATTTATATATTTCGAAAGGAAAAACAATAAATCTATATTTGTGTGTTTATTTGTGCAATATCTTCTGTGTAGGTGTGTAGTCGTTCGTAAAAGACCGGTTTTTTTTTCTGACTAACATTCCCACCTTTAATCTTTTTGTTAATGTGATTCTAAGTTTAAATTTCACTGAATGTTATTACCGAAACAAATATATGTTTCATCATCCTCTTTATGTAATCGTTTATTATTTGCCCTGGGTCTTTTTAAATCCTTATTTATTTAGTCAGTAATTATGCAAGAGTTATTACATTGACTTTATTATTTTAGATTATTTTCAATTTTCCTATATATATATATATATATTACATAAAGTCGCATTACAGGTTTTATTTAGTAAAGAGTTAAAGAGCAATAATCGTTTCGTATCGTATGACAGATCAAGATATTATTAATCTTCGTTCAGCTGACCCGTTCGCCGATGTGACCGGGAATAGTGCATTGGATACTGGAGTTGGTGGTGTTGCAAGTGGTCAACGTAGCTCCAATATAATACACATTCGTATTCAACAACGTAGTGGAAAAAAAACTCTCACTACTGTTCAAGTATGTTTTTAATATAGCACTTTAATTGAAGGCGGAAATAGCAGACTTCAGCATATATTAGAAAGTGTTAGCATTATCCCTGCGGAATTAAAATGTGAAACTCGATGTTATTACTCTTACTAATCATAGGAGATTGCTTTATTATATCTATTTTAGAACATATTTGTTCGCGATCCTTTAATGTAGCCCTCCGGAACTACAATAAGGAAGTAGTTCGTATACTATAATGAGACGCTATTGATATACGGTCTTTGATCGTATATCAAAACTTTCTGTAATGATCTCTGACTAGTAGAGTTCGGTAGTTCCATAAAACTGAAGTCGGAATCGTTAAATCATTAGATAGATACAAAAATTCTTAGCTCTATATCGAGAATATTTCATTCTTTAGATGTAATGAAAATTTCTTCAAATAGACTTAAAGCTTTCGTATCTATCTGATGATTTCATGGATTTGATTCTATGTGATCTTTTGGAACCGTCGAACTCTACTGACTAGCGTCTATGAGAACGGAAGATAGGTAGATCCGATCAAACCGTATTCTGATACTTTCAATGAAATTTTCTAATCAGAATAGGATAGCCACCTCGAAAATACGAGCTAGTTTTTACCCTTTTTTTTTGTATTTGGTCATTAGTGCACTCTACACATTTCTCAGACAAGTTGTCGAAGAAATTTGTAGGGTAGAATCCATTTCCATATACTTCAACACTTCTTCTATATCGTGTTTCACAAAAGCTATAGCTCAAAGACTAAAGTCTCTGTTGTTTCTCCTTTGATTTTAGCATCATTTATATTAATATTATTCTTTTTCTTTGTTTTGTAATTTATAAGGGTATTGGTGAAGAATTTGATAAAAAACGTCTTTTAAGTACATTCAAAAAGAAATTTGCATGTAATGGTACTGTTGTTGAACATAAAGAATATGGCGAAGTAATTCAACTTCAAGGTGATCAAAGAACCCATGTGAGTCAATTTCTTCAAGACATTGGACTTTGTCAAGCTGAGCAAATAAAAGTTCACGGTTTTTGAACATAAATTTTATTGTTCATGGTCGTCGATATTGACATTATTTATTATTCAAAAAAAAAAAACATTAATCAAATATTCCCTTTTTTTTATATGAGTGCGTGTGTTTGTATTCAATTCCTTTTTTCTATATCTTCTATTTTAACATTAACAATGTCATCAACAGATATAAATGAATTTAAATCAGTTTGTACATGTCGAACTTTACAACAATTAAATCCACGTGTACAATTAATTGCTGAATCAAATATGACAATTGACCAAATTGATGAAAAATATATTGAACAATTTGATTATGTTTGTTTATTTAATTATTATGATTTTCAAGTTGTATCACATCTTAATAAACTTTGTCGAGGACAACAACATACAGATGAAAATGGAAAAAAACAAGTTTATTTTTTTTGTGCTGCTACATTTGGATTATATGGATTTGTATTTAAAGATCTTGGTGATAAATATGATTATCTTAGGTAAACATTTTTCTAACAATTGATGTTCAACTTGTTAGCATTTTGAAAGTAAATTGATTACTATTAAAGTTTAATAAGTATTACCTGAGAACTTCTATTAATGAAAACTACAAAATAGAGAATATTAATTAATGAGCTGAAAAATAAGATAGAATTCACAAATGAATATTATACGGACACTCATGTGTTTCCTAATCGGATCTAGTCGTGTCCGGGTTCAAAATTTTCAACCCTACAAGTTCTAGCTGCAAGACTACCTTTCATTTAAATCAGTACATATTTGAAGCTGTTTTTTTCTCATTATTCAAAATATTGGAGTTCGGTAACTTCTTATCATCATGATTTTCGACATTTTCTCTTTTTTGTGTGTCTTCATGGTTATCCATTTTGAAAACAACTTGATACAACCTATTCATTATTTCAACAAATTATGTAAAATTTAGAAGTTTTCTTTCTTGAAAGGTTTCGATAAACATCAGAGAAAATATATGAGGTTATGAGGTATCATTTCCTGCAGATTGAGGCCTGTCATTGTGTTTTCTCTGATAACAACAGTTATAGATCTCTGTCAATTTTCCGTTCGAATACGAAACTTGTCTTGGTAATGACTCTATATTAATCTCATAGATTTATCATTGATAGGTGACTATCATTAAGAACTAAGAATATTAAACAAATAGAAGAATTATATATTATATGTAAATTTCTTTTTTTTTTTATTTGCATTTTAATTATACTGGGTTTCATGGCTGCCCAGTGAAAAGATAAAAAAAAAAGACCAAGTACATCATATTGAATTAGCCGAAGACAGCGAATGCATAGAATAACAGTACAGGATCATAGATAAAATAGTTCCAATCGTGAATGTAGAAAGCAAATCATGAGTATATTGTTCGGATATAAACTCAAATGAATGTCTGCCACCTCAAGAATTATCACATATATGAGCCCACTGATGAGTTAAACTCAAAGCATCTTCAGCAAAAAGCGTAGGAATTTGAGATCGAGTATTGGTTAAAATAAGAATAAGTTTCATAAGAAGCTCAAGTATTAATTTCAAATCCATGACATCGAAAATTCTTAACATATTAAACAATAAACTTTATAAACAAAAAATACTTTTAAGTCTCGAGGCGAGAGCGTGCCAATTTGAGATCTTGAAATTTACATTTTTGCTTGAGTATATGCATGCGAATTTTTCTTAAAAATATTTTATTTTAGTGAAAATTCAGTTGGAAGTGAATCATTAATAAAAGGTGAAGGAGGTAATGAATCAAAGAAAAGTGAAAAAATTACAAGTAAATCGGTAATTAAATCATTTAAAATAATTACAATAAAATTTATTTTATTTCTTTAAGACTCGTAATTTTGTAACATTTGAAACAGCATTAACTACGGAATGGAAACCAAATCGACGACAAGCAACAACACGTTCAGCTATTATAACATACAATTTATTACGTGGTAATTATATATATATGATCAATGTGAAAATAGATTATGATTTCTTTATTTTAAAGCTCTTTTGACATTCTATGAACAATATCAACGAGCACCTGCATTAGTTACGCAAGATGTCGATATACCAAATTTAATGAAAGTTATTCATGAAAAAATAGCTTTATCAACAGCTTCTGCATCATCATCAAATTCTATAAATAACGAAGAATTTAATGAAGAATTAGTCAAGTAAATAATTTTTTATCGAATCAATATTTTATATGTATTAATATTATACTTATTTAGGGATATTTTAATAGATAATAATGCTGTCGCATCAATTGTTGGTGGTATAATGAGTCATGATATTGTCAAAGTAAAAAATTTATCAAAAAAATAAATTCTATATTTTTATTGATTAATTTTCTTTATATTAGGCAATTTCGAAACAAGAACCTAAAGATAATTTTTTCTTGTTCAATGGCGTAGCATGTGTTGGATTATCAATGCCAATTGCTTGTTAAACTTGTCAAATATATTCTAGGATCTCTTATTATTATTTGTTCAAATTTCTTTTTTTTTTCTGTTAAAAATTTAAAAAATAAATGTTCATCAAAATTACATGTTTTATAAATTATTCGATTGTTTATAGTCATTAAAAATTAAATGCATTCGAACAAAATTGTTTAATCAACAATAAATAAGTTAACCACTTTTTCGAAGACCCAATATAGGTATTATAATGACTAATATTATAATGACGACGGCAACAGCCACGGAAACAAAAATAGATAATTTCTAAAAGAAAAATGAAACGCTTTGTACAAACGAATATGATTATATTGTTTTTGTTTAATTTACTCGTCGAGAAATACTAAGTGATGTTCGACGAACTATTGGTCGGTCACCTTGTTTTGTTGCACCTTCAATAAATGCACTTGTACTAGATATTGTATCCATATTATTTCTTGCTTCCTAAAATAAAGTTACATAACAAAACAAAAAATTCGAATGTAAATCATTCTATAGAAAAATTCAATTTCCTTGCATACACTCATTGTTAATTTATTGTTTGAAGATTCCATAATATTCTTTGTCAGTTTTTCAACGATTATTTTGTAACTGCGTCAATTTTTTAGTGCGATATAAAGTGTTTCATCATTGACATGCCGTATATGAATGAAGAATACTCTATCCGAGCATTTTCCTTTTATCATGTGTCAGAGAACTTATTTGATTGGTTAAATGTCAATGATGTGTTATTCCCAATTGTAAAGTTGACGGAGTCCTTTTTCTTCATATTGAGATTTGTTGGTATGATACAAAAAACTTAGATCTAGAATATTAATATATGTTTTCTTGTTAAATGACATCATCACATAAAAATATCAATATCAATCATATTACTTTCGCGTTATGATAAACAAGAGATCATTTACTATTTAAAACAACAATGGATATTATTGAAACAAGAAAATCGTTGTTCTATTTTTCTTTTTTTTTCTTTGCTGTTCTGTTTCTTTTCGAGATAGAGTTATTGTAAATGCATCTTAGAAGACTCAGCTGTATAAAAGACGAATCGACGCTTCGATATTACCATTATGTCATTGACGCGTCACACGAGGAAGAGAAGAAGAAAAGAAAGCGAAAGAATCATGTCATTTTTCTTTTACTTTTTTTTTCTACACTTTTATTGATTAGCATTATGAATATAGGCAAGGTGTAGTCGATTCCTATTGAGTGACGTCATATACGTAATGATATAATATTTTACTCTGTTTTTTTTTTAAATGTAAATTACTAATACACAAAAATCCTTTCTAGCTTATTTTTTACGGACGAAAAGAAAAAATAACAATTCGTTCGATTGATCTTTACTTTTAAGAGCAGAAGAGTATTTTTTTTCATTTTTTTCACTAAATGCAGAAAGGACAATATTCGAACAAACATCATTGATAGTAAAGTTTTATGAATGAATCATTTAAAATAACTACATAAATATGTTTTTTTCTTTATTGAAGGTTTCTTTTTTGTGAAAAATGGCACCATTTTATCGAACAATATGTTATAGTGAGTGGGTAAATTTTGTATTGATAAAAATAACTATGAAATTATTTTATAGGTTTCATCATATATTCGTGCATTTTTTATCGATTAACATATTCAGAAGTACCAGTAGTATCATCGATATCTTCAATAGCATCTAATTCAAATGACACAGCAAGCTTTACGAATACACCCATTTTTACTAATTCAACATTGTCTTCGAATTCAACTGCATTTTCGAATAGTTCAACATCAGTTAATACTACTAATTCAACAAATTCGTTAAATATATCAATAACGACAACTACAACAGTTGAGAGCTCTACAAATACAATTATTCCAACAAATCAATCAACAATATCTAATGTTGATAATACTCGTCCCACAGACGGTAAATATAAGCTAGAATTATTAATAAAAAAAAACCTATATACACATATATATTAATTGAGATAAAACACAATAACCTTTGAGCATATTAATATAGTTCTATGTGATAAACAAGTATTAATAATAACAAAAAAAGAAGAATATATGTTTGTTTTGGGGTAAGAATTGTTATAAGCCCTTTTGTTTTTTTTTTAGCATCATCAAGACCAGGCTGGTGGTTATTAGTTGCCCTTCTTATAACAATAGCCATCGTTCTTATTGCTGGTGTTATTTTCTATTATCGACAACAATCTCCATACAGACGGTAAGGATTATTAGAGCAATATGCTTATTATTATGATGTATGCATATGATTTTCTTATTAATATGACTTACGTTAGTCAAAGTCATGTAAAAATAACGACAGCTTTAATAAAGGTTAAATATTTATCAATAATCAGAACAAATTGACAGATGAACTTTGTTTTCTTAAAAGAAATGTCATATTAATATTGAAATAAGTTAATAGGATCATTTAAAATGCAATAGTTTTTCATAAGATTTAAGAAAAAATATTTTTCTTATTTAAATACATCTTGTTCACTACTCTTTTTTGTACTGTTTTATTTAATGATTATGTCATCTAGGATACTATTTAGCTTTGAGGACAGGGGTACTTGAATGATTAATTTTAGACCTCTCCTCTATCTACAATGATATAGACAGTGCAAGTTCAGGTATATAACTTAAGTTTTAATAAATTATCCTTCTCTCAATTTTGGTAATATCAATAACAGCATTGTGTAACATGCAATAGCATGTTTATTGTTTACTTTGATTGATTCTTTAATTTATTTTAATTAATTTCTAAATTTATATGATGATTTTTCTATTAGATTTCTTCGAAATTGGCGATCACGTGATGATGATACAGATAATATTATTTTACAACTTGAACAATCAGAACTAACACCTGGACAATGGCCACCTAGAATCTCTTTTACTTAATTATTTATTTTTTCTGTTTACCTATATAGATATATAAATAAGAACAATTATATTTGTTATAAAAATTTAATATTTATTTTGCGAAGATTCCTATCATATTCAATCAATTTTGATGGTTGATTTTTTTTACGATTAATTATTTCTTTTTTTATTAGTACGATTCAAATATGAGTGATTTCATTGCGTTATACTAAAATGAAATTATAGTAATCTATATATTTCTTTGAAATGATTGAGTAATATAGTGTAATACATGACTATGATAAAAAGCAGTAATGCAATTGGCATTCATAACCTCTGAACTGGAATAAATCGAAGTATAATTCAAGTATCGTATGAAAATCCTTTGAAATTTGAAACCAACTTATAATTCTTGTTAATTGGATATATTTTCAATATAGAATCGATCATTTACCATGAAGGTCAAAGGATTCACTAAAAACTATTCTCAAGGTATAAACTATTGGGTGTACTATTTTTATTTTCTTTCTCTCATGAACAGGTCAAAGTATTAATATTTAAAGAGGTGTTCTAAGCAAGAGGTCTCTCCAATCTTAAGAAATTTTCGTCAATTTTCAAAAAAGTGCTTGATCCCTTCCCCCCCTACCTCCAATCCAAGCAACCTCAGCGCACTCTTGAACACATCTGTTCAGTTTATTGATTTACGAATTGTCAAGTATGCCATTGGGATAATAGAAATATGGATATATTCCTAAAAGATGCAATATAGTACTGTGAATTGCATCACAAACCTTTTCTTTTTCAAGTTCATTAGTATCGATCACAAGTACAGGTAACTCTATTATCATCATCATCATCATTCATCAAACGATGACTTTGAAAAAAAAACATTATATTGAAACAATGAATTTGTTCTCAAGTTAATTATCCTGTCGGCTCTTTTGTTAGTTTGTCATTATTACAAAAAAAAAAAGAAAATAGGCGTACGATTGATTTGGGTACATGAATGACTTTATATGCGTTCTATCAAAGAACACAGAAATGATAAGAAACAGTTGAACCTATTGTTGAATAAATAGCATAGAGTATTAACGAATCTATACGATTTTTTTTACCTTTTCCCATGCATTTTTTAATCTTTATAAATATCTGCTACTTTCTCGCAGTGTTGCGTATATTAATTCCTTACAGTAAATAAATGAAACCAGAAAGAAATATAATAAACAGATTGTTTTTCGTTCATTGAACTTAATGTATTCAGCTAGAAATAATGAGTAATTAATTCATGGGAGATATTACAAACGATAATTGCTACATTATATTCAAGTACTACACTATTAGTAGGTTATACACCTGTGTTGATTGCCGCTTGTTTTTTTTTTTCGTTCTAATATTGTTCTACCAAAATAATATCTTATTGGAATGATCTTTCGTTTTAATTTTTTGTGCTACAGCATATGAATTATACGGCTTATTATTCATTTATTTATTACGAATGAAAGACATAATCATTCATTGTTTTTACTGTAATCTATTTCAAAATATAATGTACTTCACTGTCTTTTTAATAGATTTTTAAAGGAACATTGTAGAGACGTGCGATTTTCACCATTCAAGAGAGAAGATCCGAGACCATCGAAATTGGATTGGACAGATATTGAACAAATAAATGAGTTCTTAGTGGCGATTTTCAAAAATAATATTTTGAATTTATTTCTCTTTCGATTTACATTGGATCGCCATTGATAGTTTGGTTCATTCGAGAGTTATAAAACTTTTCTTGAGATTTACCATTTCAATCAATTGAACTGCGATCATCTGCAAAAACAACTAGACAGAGGTAATTCATTGTGATGATTAGAATGCTGATATTTGTTTCTGGGCTCAAAATGATGGAACACTGCTATTTGAATATTTTTGCAATGTCGACTCCTTTGTTACATGGAAATTGATTGTTTGATTTCAAAAACCATTGAGATAACAGTATCAGATCATTTCGAACCTAAAAACAAATATCACTATTCGATTCAGTATAGTGAATTACTTTTGCCTAGCTGCTTTTGCGAATAATCATAGGTCAAATGGCTGAAATTGAGAGCCTCAGAAAAAATTTTATAACTCCCGAAGGGAACAAGATAAGAATGTCGGTCTTGCATAGATCGAAAGAAAAATAAATTCAAAATATTATTTTTGAAAATCGCTACTAAGAACGCATTTGTTTGTTCAACATCTGACCAATCCAATTTCAATATATTTCGATGGACTTAGGTCTTTTTTCCTTGAATGGTGAAAATCACAAATCTCTATGATGTTCCTATCAAAATTTATTTATAAACCACTGAGGCACATTATAGTTTGAAATGAATAGTAGTTTTAAATTGTGAGATTTTCGTGAACAGCATGAAATATTCTAATTCTTCTTGCTATTGATATGAATAAGTTAGGAATTCGATTGTGCAACAAATTGGTTCATTGATCATTTTTTTAAAAGTAACGTTTGGTAAATCTATATTTTATTCGATAATTTCTGAGGTTTGATAAGTCCGTATTTTAAATGATTTAAAGAAAAATTAGCTATGAACTATATTGGTATTGTATCTTTAGTAACATGAGCAATTACATAAAAAAAATAAAAGATTGAAAAATTAGTCAAATATCAATCAGTTTTACAATCGCTATAACATATGAAAAGAACAATCAAAGGATCATCATTAGCTATTTCCACACTTGTTCTTATCTGGTAATGACAGTTGGTTCTGTGTTAGTTATTATCAATCTTGTTTTTACTTCAAGCATCATATATTCAAGGTCATATTGATAAATATCCAACAACATAAAAGAATGATTTACGTCTTGTGTTTTGGAATATATTCAAGAATGTAAATCTCATCAGTATCTGCTAAGATAGTTTATAAATGTAATTGTTTGTATGATGATAGTCGAAGTATTTTAACAGTGATTATTTCTGATATGTTGTAGGGCTATTGCATAAGCTGATTCTCTTCTTAAAAATAATCTCTTAAGTCAAGTAATTTCATTTTCATTATTTTTAATTGGTTCGTGTACTACAGCAATATTATGTTTAATATCTTAGTATGAAGAAATAGTTGGCGTAGATAATTACTTAATTAGTTTTGCTAATACTACGATTCGAATTATGTATTCTATATTTATCCTTGTACCTAAGTTAATCCAATACAATTCACCGGAAAAAAAAACATTAGTTTTTCATATTTTCATTTAGTGTTGTATTTTTATGCATATAGAAAAAATAACAACGATAACAAATGCCGTGTGAAAATGGCAAATAAATTGATAAGGAAATAAATTAGAAGAAAATACGAATCAAAGACGCTATTTATTCAAACATAAGCTAATCAATTAGAAGAAGAGATGATATTTGTAAAGTTCTTTTTTTTATTACTTCTACATTCAAAGACATCATCAATAAAGAATACAATAGAAATAAAAGACATAGAGAACGAAAATAGTTAACGAAAAAAATAGAATAATGATAGTGGAATTAACGAAGCAAGAATACTCAAAAAGTAAAACTTCTTCTAGTATTACCATATTGTTCATTCCACTATGTACAAATAGTAAAATGAGAGCAACAAGTAAAATAGATAAGCATATTGTCCGAATAAACTTTATATCAATATATATGAGTGTATAGTCTGATGAAATGTCATATATTTTAAAATAAATAAAGAATACAATAGATAGAGAAAAAAAACAATGTGAAAAACAAATCAATATGATCTTCTTTAATGCTCGTCAATCCTTTCTAAGTTTCTTCATAGTAAATGCTTTAGTCCTAGGTGTGTGAATATTGGATCTCTTAGCAGTGGTTGTTTCTGTAGTAGTTGTAGTAGTAGTTTCTGTTGTAGTTGTAGTGGTGGTTTCCAAAGTAGTTTCTATTGTGGTTGTTGTAGTGATTTCTGTAACAGTTGTAGTAGTAGTTTGTGTTGTAGTTGTAGTGGTGGTTTCTGTTGTGGTTGTTGTAGTAGTTTCTGTTGTAGTTGTAGTGGTAGTTTCTGTAGTAGTAATTGTTGTAGTAGTTTTTGTTGTAGTTGTAGTGGTAGTTTCTGTAGTAGTAATTGTTGTAGTAGTTTTTGTTGTAGTTGTAGTAGTTTTTGTTGCAGTTGTAGTAGTGGTGGTAGTTGATATAGTTATAGGCTCTGAACAACCATAAAAAGTTTGAATTGCTTGGATATCGTATGAACTTAAAGTGACACGTTGTCCAAATGCGATACTCGAGTTAAGTGCCTCTAGAGTATCGGCACCATTTACACTAAAATATTTTCTACCATAGTGCATTATTGAGCTAAAATCATAAGGTGTATTCAAATTATCCGCATCACTGGTATCAGCTTTGTAGAAGTTGTATTCCATACCTATTCGATGTCAACAATTCAAAATATTTTCGTTATTTTCAAACAATAATTTTAAAGAAACAGAATTTTTCAAACCTGGTTCGATATTCTCCCAAATGATTCTAACGTAATCATCGCGATCTGATCGTGATTGTTCATGATAGAAGCCTAAATTTATATAAAATTATATTTCTTATAATACTCTTTCTAAATAATAAGAATTCTGCTTCACTAATGTCAGGTGACATAAACAATTTTTATTGCATACGGAAGTTATATCGAATTCAAAATGTAAAGCTCTATACACAACGAAACTTTGAATCAATCTTGTTCTTGGGCAAAGTAACAAAGTAAAAGTATCAAGAAAAAACTTCTTGTAAGGCACTTTTAAAGTCTTCCCCTCCTTCCCCTCCACCACCGCCTGAACAAGTCAGTTTCCGTCAGAATAGTTGAAATTAAGAGAAATACAGAGAAAGGTAGCCCATTGGTCTGATCTTTCCGAAACAGTAGATCCTTTTATGTGGCACACTTTTTTCCCCAAATTTTTAATGATTTCTGTCATCACCCTTGAAAAATATGCAGTTTTTGAAAAAAGTAAAAACTCTTTTCTGTTTTTTTCTCAGTTTCTGCTTTTTTTTATCGCGCAATCCGGTATTCTCAAATAAACTTTATTCTATATATTTGATTTTTTTTTGTTTGGAAAAATATGTCAAGATGTAATGGAGTACGAAATCCTTCTTTTAATTTAATTTTTGTTTTTATTATATGTACAAACACTCATATAAATGAACATCCACGGTTCGACGGTTTTTGAGTCATTGAACTTGTCATGCCTTTTCTTCGCTTAAAAAGAAAGAGTTTATAAAAAAAAAGGGCTCTGTACTCCATTCCATCCTGAAATGTTCTTTCAAATAGAAAAAACAATTAAATATATGTGAAATGAGTCTGAATATAGAAGTTCGGTTTGCCAAATGAGCTATCTTTGAGCCTTGTTTGATGAATGTCTCTGTCAAATGTCACGATGCAGAATTGAAAAATCTTATCATAATCTCTCCATTACAGCCCCAATATATCCTCTACGTTTCAGGCGATTTGAATGTGCCTGGGACGAACTTGATTTTTTTGTAGGAGGGGAGGGAGTATACAATTCTAAATGTTCTCTATCTATTGAAAACAATTCATGAATCAATATATGACTCTAGAAAAGCAGGAAAACTGAATAAAATAGAGCATTTTTGCTGAAAACTATAAAAATTACCACATTATTTCGCTGCTTTTAAGAAATGAGATGTTTGACTGTAAACGTGTAGAATCGCCATTTCTTAATCACAATTTATTCAATCAAGCTGCAACTTTCTTTTAATTATAGCAGAAAGTATTTAGAGTGGCAATTTTTCTTCGTTTCAATAGATGATATACGTCTAGCTCTCACCAGAGTTTACAAAAACAAAGTTCCGATTTAAAAAAAGGGCGAAAAAAAATACATTTTCTTCGGGTGAGCTCAGGATTTCGGTGTTTTTATTCGACCAAAGAACCTAGACAACCAACGCAGTATCTTGTACGTGTAAAAAAAGATGTTTAGCTGTATCAAACATGTTGTGACTGAGAAAAAAAGGAGATAAAAAAAAGGGAGAAGTGTTTCGCTCTCGCGACTTCAATATTTCCTACCGAAAAGTGCCATAGAATTTCTAATCTATGGCAACTTTTTCTGTACTCATGGAAGTGTGCCAGCCTTAAAACTTTCCAAAATATTCTGATGAGCCATTATTCGAAAGTGCCAAAAATGGAGTGGACTTCCTTTAAAACTTTCCAAAATTTAAATTATCATCGAGATGAACATTTTCGAACATCACTTTGTTTAAGCTCTCATCTAAACACAGCTAGTGTCGAGCTATATATAGTTTTATAAACATTTCTTGAAAAGCATTTCAGATTTCTATAGAACTCTAATATATGTTGAACACTGGTATATTTAGTTTTATTGTTTTTTTTCCTTTTCAATTAGTGTATAGAAAGTTTGCTTGTTATACACAGAAATTTCTCTACTCTACAAGACCGTTGCTTAGGCAGTCGTCAATATTCAGAAAAACAAGATGAAAATGTATTATATTACCTAATATATGAAGTAACTCATGCATAATCGTTCCTGTGCGAAGACAACCAGGATTTTGCAATGTCACTGTGCGATTCAATTTTAATCCTGTGTGTCGTCCGACCTTGAACAATTGAAATATATATTAAAACATAAATAAAAATTTCTCATAAATTACTTACATAAGATGAACAACCTATTCCGTTTTCAATTATGATAAAATATTCTCCATCAGAATCTACTTTCTCACGAAATTGTACACAGGGTACATTATTAACTGCTGTTAAGCTTTCCAATGTTCTCATAGCATTAAGAATTATATTTTGATCTTCAATGCCTAAAAATAGACATAATCTTGTCAGTCGATGATTTATATGTTATATCATAGCAACACACTATAGATAAATTAATATCGAAAAATCAAATAAATAGAGTTTTTTCGACATATTACATTTCAACATCAAATACTATTACTACATATCGAAAAAAGAGACTTACTGTAATCCGATGAAATAGTATAAGGTACCGTTCCATTTGGCCAACCTACAGAATCACCGGTCATTACCACACTTCTCTAGATTTTATTGAAACAATGAAACTATTATTAACACATGAATAGAAGATGAGTTGTTAACTTACACTCGTTTTCGGGATACGTATGTCACCTTCGAAATGTCCACCTAAAAGTCACGAGTAAGCATATATATTATTCTTCATTGTATCAAAGAAAATGATCAGTTCTTCTACTATTCTTTAGTAAATCGCATCTATCTATCGTCTGTAAAGGTATCAATAACTTAGTTTTGACGAGTAGATGACAAAGTGCTCTCATGAAAAACATCTGATTTTAAATGATTCGGTTTGATTTTATTAGGAAAATGTGCAATTGAAATAAAAAAAATATGTTTTTGTCCAAGGTACATTAACTATTACGAATGATTAAAGTACACAATAGGAATCATTCACAAAAACTAAATGTCAGTAGATATGGGTGGTGATATCAAATTCGACTGATTCTAAAAATATGATATTATCTTATGGAATGAATTTAGTGTTCATTATGAAGTGTAATTAAATGTTTTATAGTGATAGATTAATTCGATGTCTGACTACTAGATTATCCTAAATTCAAGCTTAAAGTAGCCAAATAATTTCATTTTACTCGTTATACATTAGTCCAATATCAATGAAATTATATAGTTTGTTTTTTATTCATTTCAGTAAATTTTTCGACATGATACTTACCAATTTCTTCGAAACTTCTTTGTCTTCTCGACAAATTCTTAATTAAAACAATCAAACAACATGAATTATCTTAACGGAAAATCATCTTAATAAAAACTAACCGTTGGTATTGGTAATCCATGTAAATTTGTCATAAGAGCAGAAACAATTACGATCAATAAACAAATAATGGCCATTCTATATATTTGATCTTGATTAGTAATATGATGCTTTTAATCAATTCCTATAATATAAACTTATGATTGATACTACTTGTAAAATTCAAAAACTTTAATCAACAATATTTCATATCTGCTATCTTATGAAATCGTTCTTTACATATCTGTTGTGAAACATACAATTCTCTCATATATTGTTGTTCCTTATAGTTCAAGCATAATATAGTTTTCAAAAAAAAAAAACTAATTTTTTGTATTCATCTTCCATTCGTCATCGTTTTATAAACACTAGAATGCCATCTTTTATTCTAATAACGAAATGTGTTCGTTAACTTAATTTTATTAATTATTATGAATTAATATAGATAATTCAATTATTGATGCATGAGGAAGTGTTCTAATGTAGTGATCAACTAAGACATTGCCCTGTAATTAAGCGATAGCAAACAGACTAAAGATAATTTAAATGGAGAGATCATGCTGCAAACTCTCAATACAACTATTTTATCTTTCTATGCTAGAATCCAAGAAGATTTTAATAAACACATCTATAAATGATATCATAAGTTCTAAAATAGTTATAATAAGTCTGAAATGAATGAATATAGTTTTAACTTGATACGTTGACAAATCATTCACTCTTCTATACGTATTGTGTTAGATAAAGTTGAAATTTAGGCAATATTAAAAAATTTTGTTTAAAGATTTCGAAATGTAAAACAATCTAAAAGGATAAAAGTAAAGTCAAGATTGTTATTTTATATATAAATATCGAGTTTGATGTGGCTTATACATGATATGTTAAGTAGAGTACTACATACCGAGAATTGAATACCGGTACCCAACCGAGTACGCGTAGCGTACGGGTACGAAAAGTTGTACCTGTGCAATACTCTAATGCAAAGTGCAAATATATTACGCTGTTATAAGTTTTGTTGAGGCATGTTGCAACCAAAACAAAATGAAATGTTTTTTTATTTGTATATTCCCTGTGATAGAATAATAATAGCCGTTTCTAGGAATTTCATGGTCCAAAAATTTTAAATGTTAATTCATTTGTTCATAGAAATGCTTTTGGAAAATTATATTCTGATGTCGAAGGAGAAATCATTAGTGTATACATTACAATAAGATTTGCTAAAAATCATTACTCTCCCATATACAAAAAAAAAAATAATAAAAATAAAAAAATCGATTTTTTAATCGATTATAATAAAAAAAAATCAGAAGTTCATCGATTATTCCGATTATTTTCGATTAAAACCGATTTACAAGCATGCAAAAAGTATTGATATCCATTTTCGTGTGATTAAAAGTGACATAATTTCAATCCAAGTTTGTATGTTTTACACTGATTATAATCGATTTCTTCATGATTATAATAAAAAACACATTTTTATCAAAAATAATCAGATCAACCCATGAAATTTTCATATTTTTTATTACGTTTTGATCATAATCGATTTAGAAATGATTTATCGTGTCACTGTTTTTTCATGGGCTGTCTAGCAAAAAAAACAAGTAATTGGCATGTTTCCTTAATACAAACGAAACCCATGTCGTACGTTTGTTCATACTGTCGCCGATTTACCGGCAACAGCACTTACGACTTTTGGATAGAGCAGTAAACCAACCGAGAGAATGTTTTCTACTTAAGTTTGAATTATTTATTAGAAATAATTCAAATTAACCGAGAAAAAAACGATTTCAAAATATTTTTTACCAATAAAAATTTTTCCAGCACCATTTATAAACATAAATTTATTTTCTAACTGGAACCGACTTGAGCTTTGTGGCTAGCGCAGACAGTCCAGACACATTGCCGTTACTAATGTCTACCGTAAATGATTGAATTCTGTAGGTCATAACAGACAACAAAAACATTTACTCGGCTTCATGCAAAACATCATATTACAAATTTTTCAAAAGGAACCGGTACATAGCGCACATTATACCAATCGGCAAGTCAGAGGTAGTTGCTCTATAGTGATTACATGGGAAATTTGAATTTATTTTTAAATAAAAGAAAACTATTTGATATTTTTGTGCCTAACTAAAAGCAAGCTTTGCCTAGATATATATGAAAACAAAGTTGTTGAATCGAATTATGTATCACTTACTGTTTTGGTCGATAGGTATTGAATTGTCTTGTAAGCAAAATATCTCTATACACTTCTCGTTATCGCTGTTGAACAACAATGAAGAGTGGTAGATAGCACCCATTTTTATAGGCCCCTACCTATCTAGGTATTCTGTGCGTTAATATTATTATGATTGTTGTTTATATTGTTCTTTTTTTTTGTTTATATTGTTCTTTTTTTTTTGTTTATATTGTTCTTTTTTTTTGTTTATATTCTTCTTATGATTATGTGATGATTGTGAAAGTTATCGATCATGAATGTTTTTTATGTGCTTTGTCTAGGCGTATTGATGATTAGTTACGATATGTCATGCTCTTTTGCACTTTCACCTGTCGTTTGATGTTTTCAGGACATTTTCTTTGGTGAAATATATATTTTTTTCTACTGGTACAAAATTGAAAAAAAGATTTTACTTTTTTCAACTAACATCACTTGAGTGTTATTCAGTAAGTCCATTGGAGGCAGCATGGCTCAATTAGAAATTACATTGAAATTATTTGTCTGATAACCGATCTATAACTAATACTTGTGAAAGATAGGTCAAAAATTATTTCCGAGGCAATGTTTGCTTATAGGTAATTTCACAGGTTTTACTATGAGATGATAATGTTAATCTTTTTGTCTACCAATAGAAATTATTCTTAAATTGTAATTAAAATGTAATTATTGGATAGGAGACATTAGTTCGATACATCATAAATAAATATGAACGAAAAATAACATCGCACGAAGACGTCACATAAAATGTTATTAATCTTTCGTCTATGCATATTTTAATGAATAGAGACAATGAATGATGTGTTTCAAGCATTATATCAAGGCTGAATACAACAACAAAAACAAAAAAGTATGCATTTTTTTGTCTCTATAAAATACGATCATTTTATGCTCAATACGTGCTTGCACATTACTATGAATAAGGATACATTAATACTTGATCGTTAAAATATAACATTTTATGAAATCAAATACTAGTAACTAATGGATTTTTATGATGGATTTTGGTTTTAGGCACGCACTATTAAATAAGTCATTAGTTTCCTCCTCACATTATATATCATCGATATTTTCGTCTAGGCAATAAAAATATTTTTTCCAAACACTAATTGTATTGCTTATATGTGCTGATTTTAAGAACGTACTCAATCGATAAAATATTCAGAACTGAAAAAAAAAACAAATATAAGATATCTTTGCATCATTATACAAAATAGTAATATATGAACAGGTATTTTTTTATTTCGGTTACATTTTTGTAACGCTTAGTAGTAGATTTTTTTCCTTTTTCTATGTGCTTAGCTTTCTTGACATGTATAGACAAAAACTTCGTTTGGATTTAATAAAATTACCAATATTCAAACAAAAAATTCATTGTTTTTGTGTAACTTTGTACATTTACAGGGTTTGAATTTAAGTCCAATTCGAACATTTTAACTATTCGTGCTTTGATTTCTGAAGAATTTTCATTTAGATTTGTCACCAGATTAAGAATTGATTGGATTACTGATTATAATTGTACGTTTAGTAAATTTGTTGTCCTTTCCTAAAAACATTTATTCCGCTACAAAGAAAACAAACATATTCTAATCTTACAAGAGAATGAGAATTGATAAACTTGTACTGTGATGGACGCTATGAAAACGAAAAAGTACCACTAACAGGCATGTCTTGAATGCATACTCAATATGTATATATATGTGTGTTAGGTCCTGATTTTCATAATTCTACAAAAATATTTTTTAGCGTTTAAACGATATTTTATAGGATTGTCTGTGCTCACGATTGTACTATCAAGAAGCAACTATATTAAATCAAATAATAATTATCAGAGACCGAAATGAATTAGAAAATCTCAATTTGGATTTGATTCAGTTCATACCGAAAAAAAACCACTATTCTTTCACTATCATCAATAAAATGTATCTAAATCCCGCATAGAATTCCACTTAGATTTTTGTATCTTTATATTAAATCTATCAATTTAGACATATTTGGAAGGTTCAAATCAGAACTACTATATAAGTTAGAACTTAAATAATATAAAAAGAAATGTTTATTTTTATTATCGATCAGTGAAGGTAGTAGTTTCTGAATTTGTATAATTAATGCTGATATAGTTATCTTCTGTTTGAAGGAAGATGCATATATCAGGAAGATAAGTAAACTAACTTCTATTTTTAGTCAAAGTCTATTTCAATTCTCTGATCTAAACTGCAGTTAGTAATACGTAATCTTGGTTGAATCAATGCTGCAGCGTTTAAAGTAGAACAATTCGATTTATCCACATATATCTACTAAAAAGTTGCAAAACATCGGCAGCTCTAACTACTACATACAACTAAAACAAATATACTACGTATTGTCAAGAGATAATCCGCAACAACCTACCACTGCTGCCTGTCGTTTTGCTACTACACGTTATCCATTCTCACCCTTCTCTGTTATTTTCTCGCATGAGGTTCGTGAAAAAACTGTTATCGATGATCTTATAAAAAATGCAAGTGAAAAATTTAACTTTGAATTGAGATTGGTAGCTTACAGACGCGGACGTGCTGAGAGTAACGATTGTCGAATTCTTATANAGCTTTCTATAAGAAAATAAAGTACCTCCGCCACTACTTTTCGATTGCTCTAAGTAGTTTTCTTATAAATATGAACCGTGAGTAAATGTTCAATATATCTATGCATGTTTTAAAGCTTTTCTTTGAATTATTTTTCTTTACGAGCTTCTCTCTCAGTTCGAGTAAATCTTCCTCTTGTATTCGAACAAAATTGCGGAACTATCATATATCAATATACATTCGTTCTTTATCATTGCTTTAATAAAATATCTGGTTTTCAGTTGGAATCATTTCAGTACACAATCCTGCGCAAAAAAAGTTGCAAAATTTTTAAAAATATTGTTCAATAAAGAAAAAACGATTTTTTTTTGTAGATATGAAATCAGTTCGGTATATATTTTATGGAAAATATTGTGATTTAGTCAAATTTTGAATTTATCAGGACAAAATTTGAATGGATTATCTAATGCAAATATTGTATTTTCATCTAATGTAACTAAATCTTTCGCTGTTCCAATTGATATTTATTTTTATTGTTGTTGAATTTTATATAATAAATCCATATGTTGAAAAATTATATCATTAACTTATAAATAATTTTCAATTGATTCATTCGTTTGTTGTTGGAATATACTTGTTATATTTAAATTTCAATGAATATATTTTCCGAATTTTAATTGTTCATATAAATGAAAAAGATTTGTTGATAAATAAAAATCAATTAGCTGTTGATATAATACAATTATTAATTCAGTCGATATTTGTTGTCGATTATGAAGAATTAAATTTAAATCATTTTGACATTGTGCATCTTGTTTTTCATAAAGAAAAATTTCATTTTCATCTTCAATATTATCTGTTTGAATTAATTCTTTTGTTAATTGTTTCATGATTATTATTTAATAATAATTGTAGTGTTGAAAAATTATTGTGATCATCATTTTGTTCAATATGTTAACTATAAAAAACGTAAACATTTAATATAATTATGAATTAAATGTACATGTTCCAGATGAAACTCATTTAAACATATTGATAAAAGATTAATACGTTCATTATCTTGATTTTCTTGTTCATCTAATAACTGAAAATAATTTTTAATTAAATTTATATTATTTTTATCATTATTATCAAATAATTGTTCAATAGTAATCGTTATATTTATTTCAGCTTCAAATGAATGACCACATGTAAAGAATTATGCATGAAATTGACGAAAATTTATAATTTGTTCATCCAGTTTTGAACGTTTTAAAAAAGTGCTTTACAAAAATAAATCATTGGAATTCGTAGGATTTCTATATATGACAATAACAAATTATTTAATTCATTAATACATTCTTTTACTGTTTGACGTTCATGATTATAATGTTTTAATAATTCAAAATTGTCCATTAAGTCTTGCTGTGCATCACGATATACTGGACTATGAGAATTTTAGCTTTAAGATGTTCAACAATTCACAAAAGGTTACTTGTTAGAATTCTTCTTTTGTATTTTCCTTTTTGTCTGTAAACGAAGGAGTATAGTGCTGATATAGAATATTGTTTATCTATATCTTGCTATATAATAGCCAAGAAAAAAGAGAAGAAAAAGTCATATCATGTATACTGAAATACTGTAAGATAAAGTTTTAAAAGATCGAAGACAGAATTAATTCAATCTGCACAAGGAATATTTTCAAGTTATGTATATGATTGACTTATTAATAACTCATATACGATGTTAAATTCTTGGTGAAAATGTCATAGTTTATTTCCTAGTAGTGGAATATCAAAATAGCCTAAATTCTTTTGATTTTAGACAGCAACATCTGAAGAATGAAATACCGAGTAGTATTCGATATGACTTTGCAATCTGATTTTCGCGTGTGGATCTTCATTTAACGAAAATTTTTATCCAATCTTCTATACTTTGATATAACGTCAACGTTATTACTTTTGGTATGTACTAAATAGTACTTGACTGAACGTGCATTTACATATAACACACCTATGTGCGTAACTTTATTCAATCAGTTTAGAACCAAGTTTCAATGAACGATACACTTATAAAATTAATGAAACAAGATTTATTTAAATCTTTCTTTCACAACTATAACGGTAGTATCATTTTTATTTTCTCGTTGTTTCATATATAATCATATAAAGAAAAAAGAATCGCATGATTAGATTCACACACATATATTTTGAAAAAGAAGGCGAGTAGTGAGCAAGAGATTGACAAAAGTAAGACCATACACCACATGCAAAACAAGTGTAAATAAATAATAGGAAAAATGTTTTTTTTTTATTTTTGAAATAAAAACTAATCTGAATATATACTGAAAAGCAAAAAAAAAAAAAGAAACGCAGAGACTGTTTTTAAACAGTAATAGTCATACTAATAGTATTCGGATAATATATATATATATATTCCTTTTGACTCAATTATTCTTATCTAATGGATTGATATTATTATAAGTTAAACGCCACTGTTGAGCATTTTCATCATAAGTTTCAATTGATTTAAGAAATGTTCGACCATCAAAACCTCCAATAACATAAATTCTATCACAACAAACAGTTACACCAAGACCAACACGTGGAATATTTAATTCATTATGAATTCCAGTAATATTAATTAACCATTCATTTGTTAGAGGATCAAATATTTCAATTGATGTTAATGATGTTATACCATTTGAACCACCAATAATAAATATTTTATTATGATATAAAACTGCACCACAACCACGACGATTTTCTTTCATTGTTGGTCCATTTCTCCATTCATTTTTTGATAATGTTAAAATTTCACATGATGATAAACATCGACTTAATGTTGAACCACCAAATACATATATATTATCATTAAAATAAACAATACCAGTTTCACTTCGTTCAGTATTCATTGAAGCTAATTTTGACCAACTATTATCTTTTGGATCATATTGATAACAATCATTTTTACATTTATCACCTTCCATTCCACCAATTAAATATACATAATTATCATCACTACACATTGCTAAATTTTTGAAGTATATGTATATACATTATTTTTTTCTATCTTATTACGAAAATAAATCAATAACTTACCACTATGTGCCACAGGTGTAGCAAGTTCTTTTATCATTGACCATTTATTCATGGATTTTAAATCAAAACATTCAGCAGTATTTAATTCTTTCTGTCCATCACTACCACCACATACATAAATTTTACCATCGACAATTGAAGCTGACACTCGACCTCGTCGTCTAGTCATTGGAAATGATAATAATTTCCATTTATTTTCAATTGGATCAAACTGTTCAATTGTCTCAAGACAATCACAACGATTATAACCGCCTAAAATGAACTCAATAATGTGTATTATATTATGAGAAAAATGTCAACACTTACCAACAACATAAATCATATCATTTATGGATACTGTGCCAAAACAACATCGTGCTGTTAGCAATGAACCGAATGCAATATCTTTATCAAACGTTAGTATCGGACTATTTGTATTTGATTGATTATCATCAAAAGTTTTGTCAATAGGTGTAGCACCATTACTATCAGGTGTACTTGGACTTGGTGATGGCGATGACATATGTATAGAAAGAATTATCATTTTTCCTTTTATTATTGCAATAGCAATATAACTATGATCTAAACAAAAGAAAAAAGTAATGGAAGAAGAGACAAATATTTATTTATTATAACTAACCATTTGATTGACTAAAATGAATAAGTTTTGTTTCGGGTGTATGTGAATTCATTATTGTATTTGATATTAAATTATTATTATTTATTTGTAAATTCGGTGTTTCAAAAAGCGAATTTTCATTTTGATTACTTGATGATGATGCTGTTGATAAACTTCGCTTTGTTAATTTATAACTTTGATAATCCTATATAAGAATATAATTTAGTAAAAAAAAAGAAATCGAAAATGATATTAATATTACTTGGATGAAATCAGAAAAATGAATATTTTTATCATCCATATTTGCACAATCATGAAGTGTTTCGCCATTAAGATAAAGTAAATGGAGCTAAAATGAGATTCATTTTTTTAATGATCGAATAAAAATTAGTATTTGTTTTTAATTATCCTACACATTCACAAAGTCCTGGAAGATTAGTATTATCTTTACAAAGTTGTTGAACAATCCAGTTTATCACAAGATCACACATCACCTTTGGTTTAAGGACTTTCGAATCTAATTTCATAGATAATTACATGAAGGAAAAACGACTTCATTTTTCTTACCAATTAATTCTAATTTAATTGTTGGTAACATCAGACATTCACGAGTTTCCAGAACAGCAGCAAAATTATTTTGAATACATTCGTTTGCTTTTGTACGAAGATCATCATCCATAGCTAATAGACGTCTACCTAAAGAATATTAAAAAAAAAAGACAATAAAATATCATTAATTTTCAAGATTTCTCAACAGAAAAACTAAGAATAAAATATAATGGCTCTACGACTATCGTGTAGATTAATAATTAAATTTCCTCAAATATTGAATTCATACTTTCCATCAAACAAAGAACGGAATGTAGACGTATTAAATTACATTTTGATTCTTTTGATTTTCGAGATTCAGTCTAATTGTGTCATTAGTAGAACGAAAAATCATGAGTTACTGATCATTTTGATACAATCAAAGCTGTGAATAAGATCTATCTTCATGACATACTAAATTGGCAGTTAGTTATTAATACTAGTCAGTAATATGAGCATTTGTTTGGCAGAAAATAAATAAAGGTGACAAGTAATTCAAAGTTATTTTGGTTGCTTATATTTTGAGTCTGAAATATCTATTTGCATTTCATTTATTGTTTTATTATCGTTTTAATGAAACTGTGTTCACACTTAATTTACTTTGTAATCGATAGAACGTTTTAAGTGCTACAAAATGAACTATCCTGTACGGTCTAAAAAAAAGTGAGCTAATTAACAAAATTCTTCGTTCAATATTCTTGAGGCTAAATTTTTAGCATTTTTGATTTTCAAACAAAATAATACGTATTAGACTGTAAATAAATATCGTATTTAAAATCAACATGAACCAGTGAGTCAGCTTATGTATGCTTGAAACTTTTCTTCCGATCAAATTTTTTACACCTGGACTGCCCTCCAGGGATATATGAAAAAATGAATTTAATTTAAAAGTCGCTATGACAATGAAAATCAAACTCTTCACTTATAACATACTTGTTGAGAACAAAAAAATACAGCTGTTTTGATTAGGTTCGCTTTTTTTCACGCATTTCTGGCGAGGAGATCGAGGGATAAAAATTTGATCGGAAGAAAAGTTGCAGAAAAAGCTTCAAGCACACATAATTTGAATTATTTTTTCCTACTGATTTCAAGAAAACTAAAAGGCAACGAAATCTTTCAGCCTCTTTAGACAATAATGTCATTGTTTTGTGAAAAATAGAAATCGTTGAACAATAAATCATATATAGTCTGAAACTTGGACTTCTGCTCTATTGATTCATAAGAAAATTTTTCGTTCTGAAAAAATAATTATTCTTTTTACGCAAGACATTTTCCGAGAGGACGCTTTCAGTATAGTAAACAGTCTCTTTTTTTTTTGTTAATCCGAGATTGACGTAACTTAAAGAGAAAAATAAAGACAAATTTTTAGATAAAAATTTTTTCTCACATAAGTCTAGGGTAAGCATCTCCCTCAAGAAGTTTTCGTTACAGATGAGCTTTTTTTTATCAATTTTATTTTTGAGTATATTTCTATGAAAAAAATTTGTTTTCAACACCCCATAAGTCATGTTCACGTATTCGATAGGAACAGTATGGATGCGCCTAAAATATCTTCGTCTAGAATTGAATCTATTTTAAATTTTTTATTTTTTATAAACTAATCCTTATCGTTGTGGAAATTGAACTATCGAAAAAATCAATAAGCAAAATCTTCAATACTATGTAGAATATTTTATTATATATGAAATATTAACAAATGAAATTTATTCAAAAATTTTCAATCAAAGCTCGTAATCATTAGCTGATAGCAATATATATTTTGAATTCTTATGAAACAGATCGTATTCAGCTGAAATTAGAAGTGAAAATATCAAAGCATAACAGCTTCCTGAAACGCACCAATAATTTTTTTAAAATTAGATCATCATGGATGAGTGACTAATTTATTTGATCCGTATTCATCAGATACTGCGTAATAACATTAGTACTACCAGTCATTTAATAACCCTGGATAAGTCACTAATGACTGTTTGTCTCAGTTCAACTGTTCTATAACATGCTGAATACGTTGTGATACACACCTACTCTTGCAGTTAGTTAATGCATACCGAAAACTTAAGCAATTACATACAAGAACTCGGCATCAGACTGATCTTTTGTTCAGAGCTAAAGTCAGGATTAGTTATAAGAAAGATAGAAGTAATATTATTATTATCATCATTAAAGGTCAATTAAACACTTAATAACATATTAAATTTATGACTTTTTAATACTCACTCTGTACTGTGATATTCATTGTCTAAATATCAATACATGAATGAAAATGTAAACATATTCTCAAGCACTATTCTATCCAGGACTTCTCTTCCGAAAGGATGATTCACAACATTGGAATGACAAACATCTTTTTTTCAGGAGCACAGATACATAGTATGTGGTAAAATAACCACAAACTCCAAGAGTATTAACTCGATTGTTGAAGAATTGCCATGTCTACGCTGAATAAAACACTGTTGCCAATGTAATATATGGGGCAAGAAACAATGTTCTATTCTATGATAATTATTTGATGAACAGTATGTTTGAATGTGTGATTCAAATTTTTTTTTTCAGTCACCTTTAAAATATCGATTTCGATGAGAAAATATTCTCAGAAATCACAACATACTCAAACAATTGTGTTCTGTCAATTGTTCACTAAGATAATTTGAACAAGCTTTAAATAGTATTTCCATGCGTAATTGATATGCAGCCAAATAAATCTTTCGTACCATTTCTGATGTTAAAAAAATACTAAACAAATAAATTTTAAGCTTCTATTGGTTTTTTCCTCTCGTGAATATAACTATCTACCTTCCGCGATAAATAAATTGAATAATTAATTTTAAAGCTACATGCTCAACACCATCAATTTGATAATACATTTGATTTTTAGTTGATGTATAATTGTCATCATTAAGAAAAAGTTCAAGGAAATAATTTGAATGACATGATAATACAGCTCGATGTGCAAATAATTCATGACCTTCGACCATTAAAATGACATCACATAATTGTCTTTCTTTTCGCATAGCATCGAGACATTTTAATGTTTGAATTCCATGAACATCGGGATTTTTATATTTGACATTTAATCCTGTTATTTCATTATCAGTTTGCTCTAGAGTTTCAATTACAACAGGAGATATTGTTTCACTCATCGAAGATGATTGAAAAAACAATATAGTTTTATTTAATCTGCTTGAATTTAATTTTAAAACAAACAAACAAACAAATAAATGGACATCGAACAAAATCTGGATCAACCAATCATCATATGGAGGAACTAAAAGACGCTGTTATGGGATTGGTCGACTAGTTTTTGTTGATAAAATTGCATTCATTTGCTTATTGTAGTAACTAAATTTAGTTTTGATCTTCTACTGAAATCACTCGTTTTATTTTTTATTTTTTTCACTATAAATAATCTTCTAAATCATTCTCATCATATTCTAATCGTCTAAGATTAGTTCTTTAACTCGTTTTTTTTATTCGATCATAGACGTTTATTTACTAATGAAATCTTATGTTAGACAACAGAAAAAAAAATTAGAAATCATTGTTTTACTTTTTATCTTCTAATTTGGTTTTTCGTTTCAGATTAGTGCTTGTACCAACAGAAAAAATGTCCGATTCGGCATGTACAATTCGCACACGTAAATTCAAATCAAATCGACTTTTATGTCGTCGTCAAATGGTTGTTGATGTTATTCATCCAGATCGTGCATCACTCTCGAAAAAAGATATCCGTGAAAAAGTTGCACAACTTTATAAAACAACATCTGATTTGGTATTTTGTTATGGTTTTAATACAAATTTCGGTGGTGGTAAATCAACCGGTTTTGCACTTATCTATGACACACTTGATTTTGCCAAGAAATTTGAACCACGTCATCATCTTGTACGACAAGGTCTTGCTGAACCAAAGAAAACAGCAAGAAAACAACGTAAAGAACGTAAAAATCGTATGAAAAAAGTACGTGGTATAAAGAAAGCTGCTGTCAAAGATGCCAAGAAAAAATAAACAAACAAGATATGAACAAACAACTTTATTGGATGTTTGGATATGTTTTTGTTTTCTTCTTGTTTATATGTATCATCAAATATAAAACAAGATAAAAATAAAAAAAAAAGAAGAAGAAAGAGCATTTTACTTTTAACATATTGTTTTTTTACATCAAAGAATATCATAAACGAAAGTATCAATTTAACTTATGGATAAGAATTTCTTAGATGTTGTCATTCTTTAATATTGTTTGTATTTGCAAGCTCACAAGGAAAGTTTCAGGTCTTTTGATTTCCTTCTATCCTGAAATAAGAGAACAGCAAGCCTGGCAGTTCATATGAGCGATGTAAAAGATACGATATTACTATAATTGTATTTTAGGATAGAAATAGCAATAAGATTTGAAACATTCACAAAAAACTATTCTTGTTAAGATCTGGCTCTAGGCAAAGTTTCAATTGGAAATTCGAGACTCAGTTTTTCTGGTGCATCTGAGAGAGATCATAGCATTTATTTAAAAAAAAATACGGTAAATCGTACAGATAAGCTAGAGGATGAATATAGATTTTTTCTTCGGACGAGGATAATTCAACGTAGAAAACAAATCTCATGATTTTAGATTCTTCATTCGACAGCTCAATGCCAAATGATTTTACTTTGTCTAATATATAAAGTAATCTCCACATGAGAGTTGATGAAAATCGTTGAAAGTGACTGATAACTCCAGTTGATTTTAATGGTTTGTCTGGACATTTTCTCCAGTTAAATGTCCTACTCTAATCAAGTTTTTCCCTAAAATTTCACGATTGGAGCCATTGATGAAGAAGAGATCCATGCCTAGGCCTTCGCCCAGACAATAGAGACTTCCTTCACGCTTCACTATTACAATGGATTGAAGCACTCTATCTGTAGCACAGTATAGACGTACGAATTTTTATTTGTTTATAAATAAAGTTCAGGTTAACGCATTTAAATAGTGGAAAAGTCAATGTTTTCATCCTAAATTCTATGCTTTAAGACCTATCGACCTCGAATTGCTTATTGCAATGAGGGTTTACCGAACTTTCTGTATTTTGTCTAGGCTGATAACAACATTAACATAATGTCGTGTTCAGCAATCTAGTAAGATTTTCAAATGAAACTATGCTGATAATTACTTACTTCTCACATAGGATGAAAAGCTGTTTTTTATATTAAATCTGTCCGTAATCAATATACTGTATTAAGTTTTCTGAAATTTTCTAAAAGTTGATTTTGTAAAACTTTATTGAAATATCATAAGATTAATTAATATGAAAATTTTTTAGAAACAATGCCGTTGATAACAGAAATCAATCCAGATGAATATGAATAATTTTCACATCCAATAAAATTAAAAAGAACTATTTTTCGATTATAAAATATGTTATTAAGCAACCTTACATGTAACTAACATCAGATATATACAGATGTATTCTTCATCATTTGAGTAGTTATTCTATCTTTGGAAAAGTTTTGCCAAAGATCTACGATAAAGATTTATGTATATAAGTATTGATTCGTATGTCCAAATATGTTTTTTGATAACATGTCACGATCAATTTAACAAAGATTTTTTAATGACAATAGAAAATAAAGTTAATAGTCTGTTTTTACATTGAAAATTTCTTTGATAAATTAAATTTAAAAAAAAAATGAAATCGATTTTCTGCTGGTATATTTTCACTATTCATGTGAATAAGACTCATCAAATACTATGTCAGGACTTTAAATGAATATTAAACTTAATGAATTAGATCACGTGAGTGAAGTACGCATGAATGCTTGAATTGATAATAAAAATAAAAAGACAAAGTTCTGACTAAATAAACGTTGTAAGATTAAAACAAATAATCTAATTATCGTTCCAATCCATCGTGTACTGTATGCTTCCTGATCGAAATATAATGTACAAAGCATTTGCACGCAAAAATGTTACCTCACTTTTGTTTTACTGTTGACTTCTTGAAATACCATACGACGAAGGCAGTATGTATTTATTTTATCTAACCATCGATTGAAAATCATTTTCTCTTTATTACTCGACAATTTGTACAGATATTTTGTTGTATATTCTCTCGAAGTATATAACCCACTCGATTGTTTGATACAAAGATCGAATACTAAGCTTCAATATTTTTAATTGACATTTAGACAGTGAAACTATTGATGTATTTGAACTTTTCTTTATTGACTGTATAGTATTACGTAAAAGAGTGTAAATAACTAGTACGGAAATGTCATCATTCTTCTATTAATATGAGTTTTTCGTTATTGAAGATTACTATGCATGAAAGTGTATATTAGCAATTTTATCAAAGATCAGATCACCAATTTCATCTAGTAGATTTGTGTATTCTTTTCTTATCTTTCTATTTATATAGTTCGTAAAAAAAAAAGTTCTTCGGTAAATTTAAACTAAAATAAATTTAAAATGTACTTTGATTATTGTAGTTTCTGATTAATATATATTTGTTTCCTTTATTTATTTCTCAAGCAATACAAGAAATAAATTGGTATTACCTTAAAATCTGACTACTCGATATTATAATCAAATGGAAAATTTTATTTTGCATTAACCATTCTACCATACACAAAAAATTAACTTACGTATCGGTATTTGTTATGGCATTGTGTTTCACTTTTATTTCAATTAAAAATACAAATAAAATATTTATAAATATTTCTGTTATATACGAGAATAAATGGTATGTACCATATTAGACACTGCGATTTATTACTATATAGAAACTTGTTGTTTTTTCTCCTTCTCTTTGATGAAAATTATGAATACCATAGAATATTGTAGTCTGAAGTAAGCACTTATGTTGTATTTTGTTTTAATATTATACAACAAAAATAGATAATATTGATTAAATAGTCGAGCATAATCTTTAATATTTCTAACTCAAAACCAAGATGCAGATAATATTAAAAAGATATTTTTTTAAATTCTCACGTATACTATTATGTCACAATACCTCTCAAAAGTGTTGAAGTAATTATTCTATGAAATAAACAATTCGATATAGAGATACGTATAAGAAGTTAGAAGCATCTGAACATCGTTCTATTTTCATACATACATAAAGAAAATTGTTTTGTTTTTAGTAAGAATTTTAAATTGAAATATCTGTAGAATATAAATCCTTCAATGAACTGCTCGACAACTATCAAATTAAACCAATATTCGATTTCTTACAATAAACTTTCGATTAAGGAAATAGATACAACTTTTCTTTTTCAGAAATTTATATAATTTCCTATATGAAATATTTTATCGCCTCTGTTCACCTTATCATGTGTTTATTGATAACTGAAATGATTGTTTTATTATGGAATCTCTAAATTCTTTTTTTGCTTTCCTTTAGCGCTAAATGATACCTTTACATCGTGGCTAATCTTCAATTTTTCTTTCTCTTATAAAATTATCTATTGTCCATTGAATATAAAAATTCTTTCTGACATGCGTTTTGTTTATTTAAAAAAAAAAAAGAATAACGATTTGATCTGACAAAATCTACGTTTGTGACAAAAAGAAAAATAAAAGATCAAAATAATTTCCACCATGTAAACAAAAAATTAATAATTCGCCTAGGTAATGATGGAAAATCATTATCCCAACAATTAACTTTTGGATTATAAAATTCACTAATTCGTATTAATTTTGTTGTAGCTGTATTCCAATTAAAATTTGGTAAATGCATTTTTTCTATATTAAATATATCGCGTATACGTTTTAATAAATATTTTTTTTGTTCATTATTTTCTTTCGTTGCATGTAAACGTTGATAATGACCAAGAAAACAAAGTGTTGAATGCATACTATGTCTTGCTGTTGGTCCATAAATTTCACTAACATCATATAATTGTGTCCATTGAAGATATTTTATATATTCGGAATCATTTTTATTTAAACGATGAAGTTCTTTAGCAAGTTCTTCAACATTTGGATAATTATCAACATGAATATATGAATTTGGTATGGCTATACGTTCATATTGTTTAATTTTAGCACCTAATACAATTGGTATAGCTTGTCCATTAAGACCTTGAATCCAATATTTTTCTGTTATATATGTATCACATTTTGAATTTTCAAATGATAAATAAAAACGATAATTTAATAAAGTTTTTTCAATGCAATTAGATGTACCTTTTTGACATTCTATTGGTATTATATGTGAATGAAATATTGATTTACATTTACCATAGATATCAACATGAATACCTGGTTGTGAACGTAATTTATAAACATATTCTTCACGACCAGAATGACTATCACAATTTGATACAAACCAAGCTATATAAACAATATTACGATTTACAATACGTGGAATAATTGGTTTTAAATATGGTTGAAGAGATTGAATTAAATCATATGATAATGGTTGATTACATGTATAAGGACACGCTTGTGAATAAGCATCTTGTCGTTCATTTAATTCTTTATGTAATACTAATGTAAGAGTATTTAAATAAACTGAAAGTCCATTTATAAATAAATTTGGTCGTGGAAGAAATGTTGAATTAATTGTATGATTAAATTTAAGCTTTAATTTATCTTGAATAATATTAACTATTTCAGGTTTAATACGATATCCCTAAATAAAAGAAAAGAAATAATTATGATTAAACTATGAACTAAAAGTTTTAAAAACAAAATGTTTATTTATTTTCGATTACGTTGAAAGTATTTCTAAGGTGTCAAAAACTATGGATTATGACCAAAATTTTGTGCTCTTTCTAAATATTGACTTAGAGATTTTCTTGAGGCCAATAAGATGATCAATAGTTTGGACGAAAAATTTTTCTATACACTTTTTTTGTTGCTGTCATTATTACAACTTGAAAGAAAAATATTGAAACATTTATTAATATATCAACTTGTAGAGCAAAAGCTACCCTGTTAAATGAACTATTGGAGTTATTCTATAGTTCATTTCAATTTTCGTTTCTTTTTGAATCGTCATTTTCTATCAAAAGGCGTTTTATATAGAAAGAAGCTGTTGGACAAATGCCTATAGTGTCATGTAAGTAAAAGTCACACCTGAGTTCAATATACAATTTTCTAAAGAAGTGTCCACTTGACAAAACTTTTTTTGGCACCTTCGACAATGAACTAATAAAGGCTATCGAAAGCCTATTGGTTCATCATTCAATTTAATCATTTGAGACCATTAAAAAATTCCTTCACTAGTTTCGAACAAAAGCTGAGATTGAATTTTCAAGTCCATATTCAGAACGGACACGATATGTTGGTTTCTCGGTCCAGCCGTTATCCTAAAGAGAAAAACACAACATACTCTATATTGAATATGATAGTCAGATTCTGGTTTTAATGTTGCTGTTAAATTAAACCAATCATCAAGATCAGTTACATTTTTTATTTGAGCTGTTCTATAAGAATTTCTTGGAGATTCTTCAATATGTATTAACCATAATTGTGATTGATGTTTTTTTCTATATAATTCTTTTTCATTAGATAATGTTGGAAAACGAACAAAATCAACAAGACTAACAATAACACTATCAGCATATGCATATTCTTCAGGATCATATATATTACATATTTGTTTTAAATTTGTATTAAAAACATTTGAATGTGAATCAGTACGTGAACCATACGTTGTTGTATAATGTGCAATAGAAACTTTTTTAAATGGATTACTTTGATTAGATCGAAAACGAATTTGAGGAATATAAGGTTGATTTATTTTAAGAATTGAATTATAATAAAAATAAATAGCTATTACAATAATAATAAAGATAAATAATAGCATTCGAAAATTAATAGGTACTTTCATAATATACATGATAAATAATGTAATCGTTGAATGAAATAGAATATTATTAAGTTTTAATGATGAAATTTAATTATACTAAATTAAAGATGGAACAAATGGAATTCATTTTTTGTAATGTTTTCAATACAATATTATTATGATAATATGGTGATCATGTTCTGTTCTCCATTGGTTGCGAACCGCATTTATGATCCATTCTAACAAAAAGAAGAAGAAAAAAAGGTAAATATAAATTTTGCATTCTATCGGTCTCGTTGTTTTTTTTTCTATGCAACCTATTACACCATTATCAGCAGAAGAAATTGTATTTCTTCCTTGCTAGACGAGAGTTTTTTTTTCTTTCTTCAATCAGTTTAAATCTCTGTTTGAATAAAATAATTTTTTTTTTGTATAAAATTTAGTTTTTAATAATGTTTTACCTGTAGATTTTTCTTTTCTAGTTTAAATATTTATTTCAATTTCAAATCGTTAATTATTCTACACTCATATTAAGTTAACTCTTTTTGTAAAAGATGACATTATCATGTTGTAAGTTACGTATATAAAAAAAAAAAAAAGAACAGATCACTTTATGTCGAGATGTGTAAAGAAAAAAGAAATTTATTTCTTCTTGTTGGATTTCTTGACCTATACTAAAATCCATTAATAATAGAATTTCGTTGAGTTGCAGAACTTTATTTAATACATAGTTTCGCTTATTTTTTTGTTTTGTTTTGGTCGTAAACGAATCTAAAATTATTAGAAAAAATCCTACTTTGATCGAAAAGAAAAATATCGAAAGATAAATATGTCGACTTATTCAAGCATCGAAACAGTACAAATAATTATTTAATTGATAACAAAGAGTTCAATATGTTTATTTGATTTAAAGAATTTAAATTCATAACAAAACAAATGTTTTTTACGAAGAGCAAAGGTGAAGAACATTAATTGACAGATTAATGTGAATCATGTATATGTCTCATATATGTTCTTTTTTCAAGGTGTGGGTAGGCGAGCGTGACGAGAACACGCCCATTCACAAGTACACTCATACTATCGCCATACTTTACTAATTGACTGAGACTGTCATCTTCATTTTAGTAGTTGAATGTTTGTTTTCATATCCATACGAGTAATTTCAAATTATAATAAGAAAATATATCTCGACATTAGTTGAGTAAATCAGTTATTAACTTACAAATCATATCATTCAGAACATTGTTCAAGATTGACGACCCAAAAAAAGTGCTAGTCGTCAAGTGAATAAATCAAAAAACAAGTACTGAAGAATTTGTTGTATGTGTGATACAGATGAGTTATGAAATACTTTTCTCTAGACCGAGACTGGAACTCGAAAAACTTAGTCCTGCAGACAATAAAGCTATGGAATACTTTCCTACTGTATAAAATGATATTAGGATTTCTAGATTTATACTTCTATTTTTTGTTGTAAAAGAACCTTACAGCGAAATCTGAAATGCCGTATAATGAGAGAACGGATGACGATTTTTTGAGAAACCAACCCGATTGAGTCTTAATGACTTCTTCGTATAAAAATAAAGAAGATGATAATGGATATTATACCTTATATTTTTTTTAATGATTTTAGTAGATGTTAACAGGCTTAGGACCCGATCACATTTTCAATTTTCTATGTTTTACATAGGGAATCCTGATTAGTAAATTTTACCCGTGTTTCATGTCGTATGTACTTGTCACTTTATCCAATCTAAACAAATTATATACCAATGAATAGACTACGAAGATCAAGAACGTAGAAAAAAATTTCTTGTTAAAATACTTTTTGATTACAATTAAAATATGGTGCTAGCGTCTAGTATAAACCATCATATGTACTGAATTCAATTTCATTCACTTTGAATTTTATAACAATCGATAGTGTTTTTCATCAGTATTGAGCGGGTGTAACCGTTATAATCACCTTTCCGATCAAAACAGATACTATATGCAGAATTAATATAAATAATGGCGTCGACCTGTGTGTGTTTCAAATTTTTTAAATAAATTTTATTTTTCAACTTATTTCTTAAGGCAGCCTCGAAGGAAAACCAGAAGTCCAATTTAAACCGAAAATAAAACTCGTGAGAAAAGTTTTAAACATATATAAGTCGATGCCATTTTTTTTGTGGATTCTTTATATGCTCTCTGTTTTGATCGAAAAAATGATTATAGCAACCGAAGTCACTCAATACTGGTAAAAAAAAAATACCATTTTTGCTTATTCGAACAAAACTTTCTTGGCTCCAAACAACATGAAAAACTCTATTGATTGATATAGAATTTAAGATGAAAAAACATTAGCTCAGTGATTAAACAGTTTGTACGGGATGCTAGCACCATATTTTAATAGTATTGAAAAAGTATTTCAACAAAAAAACTTTTTTTCTACGTTTTTGATAAATGATTGTCGTACGGGTTTTTTAAAGTATTTTCGCTAGCTATCCATCGGTATATAATTCATTAAGTTTACATCAAATGATAAGTATATACGCCAAGAAACACATGTAAAATTTATTAATCAGGATCCCCTATGTAATACGTAGAAAATTGAAAATGTGATCGAGTCCTAAGTCAGTCAACATCTACTAAAATCATTTTACAAATATAAGACATAGTTTCTATCATCATTCTTTTTTATGTCTATACGAAAAAATCACTAAGATTGCATTGGGTTGAGTTCTCAAGAAACTGTCACCTATCCTGTTTGATTTAGATTTGATATTTCCGAATATTGATGTGTAACAGATTGTATTCTAATTTATAGAAGAAACTCATTTTTTAAAATATTTTCTACATCGATATTTGTCTGATAAGATCAAGTATTTGTATATAGTTAGTCAAATAAAAAAATTTATTTGTGCCTTTATAACTTGGTTTCTGTTAGTCAAAAGTACTCGTCTTATAATTCTAGCTACGATGAGCTCAGGAAGTATATTCCCAAGTGATATATCTGCAAGTTATAGTTAACATGTCAACAGATCCTAGGTTTTGTCATATGCAAATGTCAAATTATGACTATCTCACTTGGTAAATTAGAAAAATTCTAACATAATATTGTTGCTNGCCGATAGTTTGAGTTTTAAGTTATTTTAAAATAGGTGATTTGTATCTTACATTATAGTATGCTGATGATAATCAAACAATCCTAGATGAAATTCAAATAACTATTATTTATGAACAATTGAAATATTCTTTATTATTACGAAAGTAATAATAATAATATATTATCTAGGATCAATATAAGTCCATCCAATGTTTTTTTCTAGATCAAATGATGAATCAATTGTTAATGTATCAAATGAGAATATTGACATAGTTAAGCCCAGTTTTTATTCAACGTAAGCATGGCACTTGAAAAGCATAAGAATAGAATCACATTTATTTTATTTTTCATTATTTAGATTTCATGATTTAACAGGAAATTACTGGAAATATCGTGGTCAATTTATTAAAATCCCTGGACATTATTATTTATTTTCCGATGATTTAGATTCATCAGTAAGAAAAAAAGTTTATTTGATTTTTTCACGTATATTTAAATTAGTTAAAGAGTAAAAAGATCTTTATTAATGAAGCATAACCTATCTGGAGATTAATATTTATTGTATAAAATATTTTCAAATTTGATGGAAAAGACAAAGATTTACAGTTTTTGTTTTAATATGATAATTTAAACTTTTGTACCCATTTATATTAAAATTTTTCTTCAAATAATCATCAAAACATTGTCTCGTTTTATTTTAGGTAAGTTTTGAAGAACAAGAAATTCGTTTAAATCGAATTAATAAAATTCCAAAATTTATTTCAACTGAACGTGCATTTTTTAATTCTCAAACAAATTCAATACAAGAAACATATACATATGCTAGTGATGGCTTGAATTATTATATTGAATTACCAAAAACTCCAAGTGAAAATTTAAGATCATCATTATTATTTGTTCGTAAAATGGTTCTTCGTATTGGTATTTTATATAAACATGAATCAACGAAGCAAATGTATTTCGGTAGTGGATTTTTATTAACTAATCGACTTGTTCTAACATGTGCACATCATTTTGATCCGATTCAATGGGAAAACAAAAATGTATCATATAATAAAATATATGTATGTTTTCTGGATACAGCTTCTGAAACATATTTTTTCTCAAATGATTCAAACAATTTTTTAATTGAAGCTAAAATAATTTGTCGTGGTTTAATTGAAGATAATATGTCCGATTACAATGAATTAAAATCTAACACAACTGATCTTGCTCTTCTTGAATTAGAGAAATCAGCACCACATGTACAATTAAATGAATATTTTGATCCAAAATTAAATTCATCATCTCAGTCAAATGTTACAATTAATTCAGAATTATTTTTGATTGGTTATAATGGTAAATTGACTCAAAATGATGATTTAAAACCATATAAGTATTTAAAAGATTTTGAAAATTTAACAATTGATACATTAAATTATTCTCATCACGTAAATAATAAATCAATTTCAATTGGTCGTTTTATACAAGATTTATCTCTAGACAATCAATATGCTATGCATGATTGTAGTACATTATTAGGATCAAGTGGTGCTCTAATACTCGATTCAACTGGTAAATTTGTTGGTATTCACATAGGAGTTGCCAATTCACGTAAAGAAAAAAATAATGAATTTTTTTTTAACAAAGAAACATTTAATAAATTTGTACCAGTTAATTCAAAAGCATTTCGTGAATTTATTCTTCAATCAATTATACCAAATATCGGCAATGATGAATTGGCAAAAAAATGGTTATTTAATTCTAAATAAAACATTTTTTTTTGTATCTGCCTCTACATATTACTTTGTTGTCTATTCTATATAATTATTTCTCTTTTATATATTTATCATGCATATGTTAATCCATTGTTTATAACAACTCTCTCATCTGATTTTTTTCTATAGTTCATCGTTATCATTTATTACTAAAAGTAATTGTTGATATTGTTCGTTGAAATGATGTTGATGAATCTAACGTTTCATTAAGACAACATTTATGGTGATATAATAATATTTCAGAACAATTTTTCGACTATTGAAAATAATTAATTTATCGGATCATTTTATAGAAATATTTTTTTCTCTGTATTCACATGTTTTCATGTCTTTTACTTTTCTATTTTCTCTTTATGTTTTATAATCACATCGAATTCATTAATAACATATCAAATCAAGCTTAAATATTGAGTATTTTCTCGAGAGCGTTTCGAAAAAAATTGTTTAATATATTAAACAAGTGTTGAATCGTTTAATCTAACTTTTATAGTTGATATGAATAGTTTTATCGACAATTCGAATAGAAGATCAATTAATATTCAGATTTTTCAAGAGGATATTTATCGTAAGGACATACATTTTCTGTTTTTTTATATGAACATGTTTAACATAAAATGATTTCTAAAGAAGAAAATAATCAAAGATTATTCAAAACAAAATGTATAAAAATTCTTTACAAATTCAAATTTTCAAATTGATTCTTATTTGATTTTACACAA